GCCAGCTTAGAATAATTAGTTAATGCTTTTCCAGCTTTCGAATGAGCCCAGTACTTTTCTAAGCCCTTTTCATGAATGTGCTCATTCATATTCTTTCAGCCTATGAGGTAGATACCATCAATAACTTTGTCCTGCAGATGAGGAATTCAAAGAACTGTGTTTAAGTAACTTCAAATCACACAACTGGTAAGTGCTAGACTTGGTATTCAAACGCAGAAGACAGCCTGAGGCCTGAATCCTTGAGCTTTACCTAGACTGCACTATGTTGCCTTTCTATAGTATATTGTAGGGAAATTGTGATGTCAGTGTTCTTAAAGACTCTAGACAAATTTGAACTGATATGATTTCATGTTTCTATAGAAGTAGAATGATTAAAAAAAGAATAAGCGGTCTTGAAAGCAGGGATTATATTTTATAAAAATTGGCTTCATTAAAATGAAAGCAGCTACAGGCTTCAGGGAACCGGGGCAGAGTAGCTGGTGTTCAGAACCCTGGCAGTGGCTCTGAAGGAGGGTGGGAGAATTAAAGATAGGAGGGAAGGAGACAGGAATCTAGTGTTATGGAAACTACCAGCTTAAGACATAAGCAAAGTTACCTGAGCTAACCTGTCCCTTCATCCCTCGGCCTATTTTAATTCCAGGCTCATCACTCCTAAACTTTTACGAATTCCAGATGCTTTAAGTCCATCTATTCCAAAAGTTCCAGCAAAGATTTCCATTTTCAGTGGTACCATAGCTCTGCATTTCAAACACATAAGAAGTTTATATTTTAGCCTCATTGATGAGAGTCAGTTTTTGTTTTAACCCTCTAATGGGCAAACTGACCTTACTTAAACAGACATCAGGTAGACCGATAAACAACTCAGAGAATAAGCATGCTAAATCAGCCACCTTAATGGCTCCAAGATCACATGTACCCCCAGGCCACACTGTTGGCCACCTTGCTCTACTCCTGAGTGAGCTCTTCCTAAAACAAGTCTCCCTTTACCTTTCACTGATGCGTGCTGAAACTCTTTTCTATGAGGAGAGTCCAGAACCTGCCCAGTGTGAGCTGAGGTTCCTATCTCATCTTTAGAGGGTTGCCGCAGGCCCCGCCTGGGACTGCTCCTCGGGAACAGTCTCAGGGCAGTCCTCCTGTTCCTCACAGGAATGGAGGGTGGGAGGCCCTTGACTTGGGATTTCTCTGCAACAGTGGTGTCCCTCTCTCCAGCCCAAGTTTGAGTTCCACCTTCTAATCCCTACCCCCCAGGCCTGTCCTCCCCGAGTGATCATTCTTCCTCTATGGTACTGTAAAGGACAGGAAGACATGTTGGTTTTGAGTCTAGTGCACATTTTTTACTCTTAACTAGGCTCATTATCCCTCAAGGTTATCAAGGTGTTGGGGTAGAGAAGGTGCTTTGTCTTAGAGGAAAGAACAATTAAACTATCCTTAAGCTACTAATCAGTTGAATGCTTATAATGCTATATAATAAAATTTACCCCAAATTGAATATTATATTACCTTTTGATGGATCATAAGGTGCTTTAAGCCACTAAGATGCATTTTGTCATTATGAATATTAATAATTATGGGTAATTGAAAATGCAAAAAAAAATTGTACATCTTTCTGGTTGCTAGCACAACGAATATATCAACTTTTACTCAAGTAGCAAGAAGATAAAGTAGAATGACATCTATGTGTGCTGTGAGAAGCAGGCTGTGGCCTCTACAGCCTATATTTCAGATTATTAATGGTGCTAAAAATTTCCTGACATACACAACTGCTTAGTGGCATATAATTAGTAAAAGACTTATTAACACTGTAAAAGCATTAACATTAAAAATTATTTTATTCTATGTAGAATACTTAGAAGACTTTGGGTACATCATTAATCTTCACCCAATATGCATTTAACTTTGTCCTAAATCTAAGAGGTACCATTCCATTTGTCCAACTAGAAAACTTGCCCTGCTAAAAAGGTATTCAATAAGTCTATGATACCAACTATGATTGTATTTTATCTAGTTAAAGTCCAGAGTATGTCTTTGAAGTTAAAAATGTCAGAGATGCAAAAAGAATTTGCAGCAACATTCTGAAACAGGAACAGCCACTTACATTTTCTCAAAACACAACCAATATATGAAGAAAGGTCTCTCTGAAAATTACTTTCAAAGAGTTTCAGGGTCCACTCATCATTATCATCACTTTATACAAAACAGTCCAGTGTAGGCTGCAATCAATTTCTACACAATTTTTCATCCATCAAAGCTTAATGGAAAGAAGATGAAAAGGAAATATAAATTCAAAATCTCTGCTCATGGTCTAATGGCCTATTATTCAGCCAACTTTCTACAGGCAGAAAGTTTTCATTAATACACCATTAAGGATGACATTAAAACTTCAGATCTGTTCTAGGTTGTTAGTTATGTCTCACGCAATGAATTCTGAGTTCCTGGAGGTCTAATATCTACACCTATAAATATCTGTCGAGTTAGATATTGCATAAGAGTATAATGGTGCAGAGCATAAAAATTATGTATCTTAGTTTGAAAAATTCCTTCTTAAAAGTATAAAATTTGATGATTTTTTTTTTAAAAAAAAGAGGCTAGGGGAATAATATGTTGGATTTTAATTATTCCTTTAATGTTATGGCCTGTGTTTAGATGTCACCCTAAGCCTCATGCAGTCATAAGTGGGGCTTTTTCACAGGTGGCTGGATCTAGAGTATATGATGGTGGAATTGATTTATGGTGCAATTCTAGGATCACTGGGTTAAGGGTGTGAGTGCTACTCACCCTAAGTATCCTGGATAAGACACAAGGGCTAGAAAGAATTATGGTGGTCCTTTTGCTTGCTTTGCTGCCTTCTGCCTGCCATGAACTGTTTCTTCTGTGTTGCCCCTCTGCCACGCCACACTGTCTTGGAACCAGTTGATTATGGACCGAAACCTCTACAAACTGTGAGCTAAATAAACCTTTTTTCCTTTAAGTGTCGGGTATTTTGTCTGAGCGATAAGAAAAGTAACTACGACACTCACATTGAAGTTCAAAGCACAGACTTTCTATTTGGCACAAAAGAACATGCTCAGGTGTTTCCATGATCTTCCATCCCATGGAACGTGTGATCTCAGGCAAACCTATCTGCTGCTGTAATGTGTCCTTTCCAAACTGTTCCCCTGGAAGGAGGTGGGGGGCCTGCCTAGCTTCACTCATTCCCAAGCTTTTCTCATAGGTCACTGGAGGAAGGTATATAAATATTCCATTTTGATAGTGCATATTGGTTTCCACGACTTTCTGCTCAAAACACTTGTTAACGTTTAAACACTAGGGAGCTGTGTAAGATTTCTTCCACCATTTTGGGAAGTGCAAAATGCCTTATATCCAAATTGCTAAAAGACGTTTTCAAATGGGCAAGGAAACATGAATTTCAGGCCCTGTCTCCTGCCTAGTTCTTTTCTGTCTACTTTGCTGTTGTCGTCATAACCCCAGCCATCTCCAGCTTATACCTGAACTCACTCAACGAGCAGTTGGTGGTGTGCAGGGGCTGTGTGAGAAGCCATCATAAAGGAGGGCACTGGCTCAGGGTGAAACTCCATTCTTCCTTGAGGCCCTCTGCCTGGGATCGGACTTCATGTCCCTCATGTCCCCTTCTCATCCCATGGACTGTTGAGTTTGGCTCCTGATCTTTTTTTTTTTTTTTTGTCTTTTCTTAGACAGGGTCTCCCCCTGCAGTTCAGGCTGGCCTTGAGCTCACTTTGTGGCCCAGGCTGGTCTCAAACTGGCAAAGATCCTCCTGCCTCAGCCTCCCAAGTGCTGGGATTACAGGCATGCGCCACCACGCCCAGCTCTCCTGATCTTTTATTTTTCTATCTGTTCACCTGGATCTGTCTCACTGTGTTCTTTGTCATCTCTCAGGACTTGTTTGACCCCTTGCAGGCCTGCTGTGTCTTGCTGCTACCCACGTCTAGAGAAAAGGACACTAAAAATTTCTGTTGCACTGCCAGGTTGCTGTGATTTTGGACAAGTGGCTGAACCCACATGAGATCAACACCTCTCTCTGTTATGTGAAGGGATTCACTGGCTCATATCTGGGGTCGCAGAGCATTCAGAAACTTCTGGAACCAGGGAGCCTCTTCCCTGCCTCTCTCTACGTATTCATTTTTTATCTGACTCTGTTTCAGCAAATTACCATGGGAACAAAGTGGTAGGACGTGTAGATAGGACTCTACAACTCACTGAAAAAGCAAAGCTTGCAAATAGAGCAGCATCTTAGCTTTCTTTGCGGTACACTGTGTAGTGTACAGAGTGTGCAAGGCGGTGTGTGTGGACTCTTGGTTTATGCCTGTGTGGCTGTGTGCCCAGCTTTTGGAGGGAGCTCTTCCACATAGGCAGCAGGGAAATGGCCCTTTTTTCCATTGAGAGATCCGAACCACCATCCTTCTTCTTTCTTTTCATGTATGGTCACAATGTCTCCTGTGAAAATGCACATTTGATTAGACAAATGGATGTGTGCAATTTGACAATATGCTAGAGCCTGAGTGGTAAATGTTTTCATGAAAATGTACATTTGCAAAGTTACCAAATTGCATCATTTTCTGCCCTTGGTTCAGATGAAGCAAAATCTACTGAATAGCTCTTTGTAAAGCAGGCATAACCTAGAGAATACTAACAAAGGTGAAATAATAAACAACTTATTTATGCCATGAAATAGTTTGCTTAAAAGCAGAATCACACTGGACCTCATGCTGCCTGGTTTGCGTTGTGTAGAGTGTGTGGGTTGCTGCCAGCAAACCAAACTCTTTGCTGTGTCTATGCTTTAAAGGTTTCACAGGACAACGGCCATGATAATTTGGTGTGCTGACTCCCGAGACTGGGTCACAGCTAACAATATTTTCTTAAGATCTGAACATCTCTCCCTTACACCTTAATTCACAGTCCAAATTCTAACTCAGAGCTTTGCGTGGGAATATAGCTCTCCAATCGTGAGTTTAGATAACTTTAATAAAACATCAATTTATTTGGTTTTTTTTTTGCTTGTTCGTTGTCTTGTTTTTGAGACAGGGTCTGGCTATGCAGTTCAGACTGCCCTTGAACTCACTTTGTAGCCCAGGCTGGCAACTCACAGCAATCCTCCTGCCTCAGCCTCCCAAGTGCTGGGATTACAGGCATGTGCTACCATGCCCAGCTAAAACATCATTTTAAAGGTAATACTTTTTTAGAGCAAGAATTCAAATAAATAGTATTCCCAAGAAACACAATTGTTGTCCAATTCTCTTTTTTTTTTTAAAGGCCCTGATATCGATCACCATAATACTTAATTTGATGCCCCAAACTCTTTGGCTAAGCCCTCTCTTGTGAGAGAATCCTTATGCCACTGAGCTATATCCCCAGCCAAAGCACTATTCACTCTTGTAGGCAATATTCTCAGTCTGAGTTCTCCCTCTAAAGAGTTCTCTGGGATCAGTAGATTGTTGGACAAAATTTATAAACAGGAATTTGAAAACCTAGTTTGAATTTCCACTGCTAGCTTCCCTCAGCCTCCAGTGTTATGTTTTATTAAATGAAACCACTTAGAATATAAAGCACAAAGCGCAATTTGCAAACCACCAAGAATTGAAAAGAGGGCCAGGGATATAGCTCAGTGGCACAGGGCCTGCCTGGCAGGCACAAGGTCCTGAGTTCGATTCTTGGTACCAAAAAAAAAAAAAAAAAAAAGAAATGAAACAAGATAACCCATTTTTTGGAACTCTGTAATGTAGACTCAAACCCCTGAGTTTTAGGTGACATCAGGGAAGTGATTATTTATTTATTTATTTATTGGTACTAGGAATCAAACTCATGACCTCACGCTTGCCAGGCAGGCTCTGTGCCACTTAGCTAAATTCTCGGCCTTGGGAAGTGATTTTTATTCACAAAGAAAAAATAATTGCCTGGAAAAATCTGACCAACACATTGAAAAAGAAGTTTCCACTAAACAATACTAAAACTTGGAATACCCAGTTAGCTACAAAAGCCACCTTCATTTTCCATTGATTCTGGGAGCCATCCCGCTCCTGAACAATAAGCTTTCTCCTACTGCAAAGGGTTTTCTCATGAGCTGTTCTATTTCCAGATCTCTGCCTCAGCTTTAACATCAGCATGTGGACACATCAGGAGCCGAGGCTGGAGACTTGTTCTTGTTTAATGATATCAAGGCCTACGTAACCCATGTGATACCTTTCCCCATTCAATACAAATCTGTGATAAAAGGAAGGGGTCTGAATCTTTAGGCTGGCCATAAAACACTTTCCTGGGAGGTCAGTGACACAACCATTAAGCTGAGGGTCAGTTGACCCAGGTTCTAGAACTTTCTTACACTAACTCAAGAGAAGTCACTCCATGAAAAGGCAGAGCTGTTCTCTGATGACTTCCCACTATTGACACCAGGCTGCCGGGAAGCACTGTGATCAAAGGCATAACTGAGTTTCTGAGTTCAAATCCTATGTCACCACCGCCTAGGACTTTACCCAAAGTACTTGACCTTTTTGTGCATCAGTCTTCTCATCTGTGAAATGAGAGTAAAGAACAATACCTATCTCAGAATATTATTATAATAATATTCTTATGAATATTAAATTGAACAATGCTTGCAATGTCTGGTACTGAGAAACACGACATAACTGTTAGCTCTGATCATTACGTGAGCTTTATGTAGCTTTCCAGGACTTTATCTTCCAAGAAGGGTGATTGTAAAAATCTCAACTGATCTGGTGTTAGTAGTTAAGACTGTTGTTCTAAGACAGAATTTTATTCATATCAGAGATCTTATTACGAAAAGGTAATTAAAATATCTGAGAATATATCTTACCTTTCTCCAAGTTCAACTCATCATCTTGCCTGGCTTGAAAAGAATATAAGGCCTTGCCAAGACTGTTGCCAACCTGGGCTGCATCGGAAGCTAGAAGTTGGATCAAACTGTAATTACTATGCTGTGTTCGTAGGCAAACAGTAGGATCATGAACTCTTCTTATTTAATGGTGTGGCACAGAGTTAAAATATATTGAAATTTTCTCAAAAGGAAAGTGTGTAATTTTACCTAGTACTCATTCCTCAATTTAATAAGCATTCACAACATACCTGCTATGTGTAAATATTGTTTTCATTATATAGCCCCAAAGCATACTGGAATGTAGGAAATAATAAGTCTGCAGAAAAAGGTTATTGTCATTGTAACAATAAAGATAGTACTTTAAAGTTTTTTTCCCAGATGATCTCAGCATCATTAAATGACTCGGGTAGGTGCATGCATGCTGGGAAAATACCGTTCAGATAGAGACGGGGCTATGTGAAACATGCGTTTCTTGTTGTGATTCTTTAGGGTACGGTTTCTTAAACAATGCAAAGGTGAATTTTTAATATAAAGGGTGTGAGTTCCAAGCCCAAGTGGCCTGGCCAGCCACCTTGTCACTGTGCTTCCTGCTGAGAAGACAGAATAGCTGCAGACGTTTAGGAGGGGCTGTGGAGACACAGCCCAAGCTCCTCGCTGGTGCAGCAGACCCGGTGGACAGCAGGTGGCAGGTGTGGGAGGGGAGTATGGTAGATGCTATCTCCGCACACCTGCAGCGACTTCTCTTGTGATAAACGTTTTTCCAGCACTCGCTCTTCTTGACTCCTTCCTACCTTTGGGTTACATCTGTACACAGAACTTTAGATTCTAACAAATTAATCAGTCCCAACTGAAATGTAAATTTCTTTGAGCAAATATAGGTCAATGTGGCTCTGAAAAGAATATTTACATGTAACAATGTGCTTTACCGATAGGGCTCAGCCCAACCTGATTCTGGGCATCCGGTTACCTGGAGATGAAGAACTTGAATTTTTCTGCCCACTGGAAGATGTCCTACTCAAAACATTCTCTAATCTCTTTGTCAAAAAAGGCCGAGATATCTTTACATACGTATGAGTATGCTCCTGTTCAAGTAGTTAAAAAAAGGAAAAGTCATTTTAAACAACCTTATTATTATAAGTAGTCATAAAAAATAACTCAGAAATTTATTTTTTGAATTGGGGCAAAAGGTACACAAATTATTCAATATATTCCTAAGCCTTACTATTTGTTTAAATTCTCTTGATTCTGAAGGCTTGTTATTTTCAAAATTAGACAGGTATACAGTATTGTATAGCCTGTGTTTCCAAGTTAGATCTCCATGTCTAGGCCAAAGAATAACATTCATAGTGTTACTTCTAATTGCACCTTAATGGGCTACAAGCAAGTGAAATGATTACTGTCTAAATGACTGAGACCATTTTAGAGCTCTAGAATCTCTTAGAAAGAGTACTGTCCCTTCACCACAAGATGCTTACAGCTCCCCCTTCTGTTTGGTAACAGGAAACAGCTGCAAGGAATAGGTACCCACCGCAGGTCATCACCAGTTCCTGAAATATTCCACACTGGAAAGACACATGTGAGCAGGAACTTCTACAACTGCACTTACACACCATCTACATTATGTATGCGTCAGACTATGCACTTTGCACTGTGTTTAAACTGTGGTACAATGAGACAAATGCATATCACAAAGTCTTACAATTTAGGTCTGCATAAATACTAAAATTTCAGTGTCATAGAACTTTTACTATAAGAACACATTCAAAGGCTAAAGTTAAACTATGAAAAGGAAGAAGAAATACAAAGTATTTTACATTCATTGTAGCAACTTAGTCTACACAGAATGTATTTAGCTTTTATTTAGCTCTTTTTTTATTTAGCTTTTATTTAGCTCTTTATTGTGCTCTACATGAAGAAAATAAATTTATCTTAAAATTCTGCAATAAGGATTTGGGACATACTGCACATGTGACTCATAACAGCTTTTTTGACTCAAGGCCACTCTACGCCACTCTGCCTAGTAAGCACAGTCAAGAAATTTCAACCAGTCTCTTCTGTTTTACCTTTTCTTTCCACTTGAAGATGGAGTTGCTACAGGGATGGCTGGGTTTAGTTCTCTGTTCAAGTTCTGCTAAGACCGATGACAGTTTGTAGGAGTTCGCTTGCAGAAGGTCTAGTTTCAAATTGTTCTGTGGATACAGCATTTGCCCATGTGAGAAAATGTCTAGAAAATGAGGCACAACTGTGCAGATAAAGGGATCTCTGGATAACTTTCAAAATGACCAAGGGACCGAGAAAAGCACACATTCGCCTGTGTATAGATAGGCACCCAAAATGTTGAAAATAAAAAACTTATAGAGAAAAATATCCCTCAAAGCAATTAGGAGAAAAGCCTTAATAGCTGAGCGTGTCCTCCTCCGTACTCTTGTAAATAGGGTGAAGAAACAGTGTTAGATACATTACTCGGTATTTTGTGGCAGTGAGCAGCTTTATGCAATTTTCAGGTGGGTACAAGGAAGGAAATAATGAGTGCTGATCACGAAGGTACACTTTCCATAGCCATGAGGCCGGGCAATTGAATTATAGCTCAATATTTTAACAACCGGAATTTACATCAATAGGATCAAACAACAATGGATGTGGGTTGTTTTGTTTTCCCTTTCCTTTAAAGAGGTAGGGTATTATATTTTGCAGAAAGTTTGTGGTAAAACTTGCAAAACTGAAAATAATATTCTAGTGTATTTGATTCTAAAAATAAGGAGTAGTTGCCAATCATGGAGGCAGGCACAGGCTCGTCACTCCAGCACTCAGGAGGCTGAGGCAGGAGGATCATGAGTTTGAGGCCAGCCTGGGCTACCTAGTGAGACTGTCTCAAATAAAAATAAGGAGTGAAGTTGAACACAAACTCCTAAGCTCTTCTTATTCTTGTTTTGACCTTGAACTGCATCATTATTGGGACATTTTTGTCAGGCTTTGTTCAGTCGAAGGGAAGCAGCAGAATCTAAACTAGGCTCCTGCTGACCCACCCCCTCTTCACTACTACTTCTTTTCTCTATGCCTCCAGCAGGGGGATTCCTAACCTAACATCCTTGCTGGGTGGAAGGGGAGGTCCCGTCCAAGGACATAATTCTTCCAATAATGGCAAAGGTCTCTAATCCTTGGTGCGGTCCACTGCGTTATGGGGCAGCCTCACCTAAAACAAAGTCAAGAGCTCCCCTCGACCCCCTCCCATCAGACGTTGAAAGCACCAGAGAACATGTCTCGTTCCTCTCACACACTCCTTCCAGTATGTGGGCAACATCTAAATAAAGTGCCTCTAGTCTCTGAAACTTTTCTCCTAGATATGCCTTGCCAACATTCCTGATTCAAATATGACACTTCAAGGACCAAGAGACAAGTGATAGGAAAGAATTTAAATAAAGCAACGTTTCCTTTTGCAAGAAACCTTCCCTGGGTAACACGACATCTCCCAACGCGACTAGTTCCCCTTACCCAGATGCAGGCAAGTGTCAGAAAGTCACTGGGATACTTGTCACCCTCAGCTTGAAGGTCCTGCTTGCTCCTTCACTGGCTGCTAAGCCCTGAGTTCAGGTGTCAGGTCCTCCCACATTGTGTGTGAATCAGACTAGTGTGTGCTCTATGCTCTAATACCTGCTGTTTGCTGGTAATGAGTGTGCTAAAATTCTGTGCGAGAGCAACCAAAGAAATGTGAGACTCCACAGCATCATAATATACTCAAGACTTTATTTTGGTAGATGTGATTTGCATTGAACTTGTTAACTAAACTTTTCATGCTGTCACAAGAAATGTCCTACCATCTGTCTTATGGTTTCCTGTGAATTGTAGCCACGCATTCTTGCAGCAGTGTGTCAGAGCTCTGTCCCCCAGGGAACACACGCAGCCCTTGCTTTTCACATGAAGCATCAGGCTGGTTCCTCCAGCAGCCGCTCTGCTAAAGGAAGCCTGTGTTAAACACATGAGCAGCTGGAGCTGGCTGCAGCTGGCTGCTTTCACCGAAGCACACCAACAGTGCCAGGATGTGTTACTGTCACAAGAGGTAAACTAGGTAAGGAAAGGCAAAGAAAGCTGACCCAGGTTTCTGCATCCTTCCAAACACTAACAATTTTCTCTCTGTCTGAATTATTCTTAGATTAATCTAAGTCCTCTTCTGATCATTCAAGCAAATCACAGCAAAAATCCACATCTTGCACATGTAGGTATCTGTTCATTTTTATGCCTCGATAAAGTTTTAAAAGCTACCCTTTTAGCGGAAGTTCTTCCACAGTGGCTAACGTGTCCATCATCCCTGCGGACATCTGTGGGGCTCTAGATTCCAGGCTTTCAATAAAAAGGCTGGCAAGCCTATGCCCTGCCCTGCTTCACGAATTAAATAGTGGAAGTGAAAATCAGGATGGATATATGAGTATGGTTTCCCATCACTGTAAAGTTTAAAAATCATTAAGTGAAACCACCACTAATTTAGGACCCTTTGTACTCAGTTTTGAACTCCTGAGCACTGTGCTAGCATCTTTTAAGCAACCTTTCATTCTCACAAATCTCTATGAGGTAAGTACCAATACGCCCAGTTTAAAGATGAAAAAAACTAAAGTTGCCCATGTCCCTGTAACCCACAGAGCCACCTCCAAACCCTGTGTTTCATCACTTTTCTTAACTGGGTTAAAATGCACATGGCTTCATTAAAGACTGAATCTCATTGGAGGAATTCTATTTTAGACACAAGTGTTTCTTCCTAGTGTCCTTTTTGTTTTTTAAGTTTCCTTCTTTTACAAGACATTAAAGCAAATATTTGTAGGTAGTTGGATTTTCCCAGATTGCTCGCGCTACCTAAGGAAGAACTGGCCCGATAAGCTTTTCCTAGGTGGCTCTGTATCACCAGAAAGGAAAGGCAAACAGCAAAAGACTGGAAAACCAGTACTCTAAAAATAACCCTTTCATCACTAACTGCACTGGGCAAATATTTACCTCGTCCATTAACGCTGCGGTGTCTTTCTGGCTCTTTTCATCCGAGAAGGACGAGTTGCTGGAGTATGTATTGAGCATTCGTTCCAGGCCTGGAAATGAAACCATGTTCTTGGTCACCTTTCATCCTGGCCTAGCAGGGCACAGCTGGAAGTCGGTCACGCTCAAAGGGATCCTGAACCTGAAGTAATGCCAGTAGGTTTCCTAAATGGCTGAGGGGTAGGGCCATTCTGTCTCTAGCTGTTACTAAGTTTTATGAAATGAGTAATGGTAAATCGACTGACTGCTCATTTATCTTTATCTTCATTTAACAAAATTTGAGAAGTACTGGTGCTTAAAGTAGCTTGACTGTTATTTTTTCAAGATGAAATTTCGAATTCCTTTTGCTTGGCCCATTCTAAGAATTGCTAACGTTTACACAATGTTAGGCTCTTCCTAATTTTTCTACTTATGTCACTAACCATTGTTGGGTTTCCTGTCCGCATTACATTGCGATGAATTGTGGTGCACGCGAATCGAGACATATTAGAATCACAAGTGCACAGTTGTTCTTAGTATGTGTTACTTTAGAGCTGCTTCACATTCTAAAATGTCTAACTTCTAAGTACAGGATTTAATTTGATTTTTACCCTATTTATAAAGTTAATAAAAAGAAAGAAACAAGCTGGGTGAGGTGGCACTCAGGAGGCTGAGGCAGGAGAATTGAAAGTTCAAGGCCAATGCAGTCTACGTAGTGAGTTCATGGTCAGCCTGAGTGATAGCAAGACCCTGTAGAAAAACAAAAGAAGAGAAAAAGAGAGAGAGAGAGAGGAAGGGAGGAAGGAAAGAAGAAAGAACTGGCCAAAACTCTGTGCACAGTAGATTTACCATATTTAAAATCACAAAACTACCTCTTCCTAGCCAGTTTCAGGAACAGAGTAAAATGGTAGTATAGTACATATACAGCTCTCATAAATGGCTAAAATGTCATTTTAGAGCTTTTGCTTCCTTTTTAAAACTTTTCTCCTTCATTCACAACTTGGGTTTGACAATGGGGTTCTTTAAGTGGGATGATCCCTGCCCCGGGCAGTGAAAGCGGACAAATCTTAACTCAGAATAAAACCTCTGAGTGTGATGCTGTCCTCTGTCAGGCCACTCAAAGACACAGTCACACACCTTCTTTGTCTTTGGAGGCCTTTTCAATGTCTCTTTGCAGTCTCAACAATTTTGGTTTTATTAAAGATTTTCGTCTCTCTTTATCCATCGCATTGTTAGGATCTTCTTCCTTTAGGAAAAAAAGAGATGTTTAGTAACTTGAGAAAAATAAGAGTTGCTACTCTCAATTATACTGAGACTTTAACTGACTGCATTTAATTTTAACTTTACAGAATAAAAAAATCAAAAGGACTAGAAATGAAATCAGGCTAATCTTTGGTTTTGCACACATTGTTCTATTTGTTCTAGACCTTATTAATAAGAAGACATCTTGTTCATAGCTTGTAAGTACATGGCTGAGCATGTTCTTTAATAGAACAAATTATTCTTGGAGGAGGAGCCTTATTGTAGTTGTTTTAATTTCTGTGTAAGTAAATCTATTGGCTGGATCTTTGTTGCTCCTGAAAATAATTTATCTTTATTGAAGTTAGAGTCCTTCAGGGGTCCAAATAAAGTATTGTGTGTGTTTCTCAGGCTAGGACGGTCTGAGGAGTGGAAGGAGTGTTCCTCAGGCTTGGTATTGGAAACTCATGAGTTAAAACACATGCCCTACCCAAAATGGGTTTATAATTCTGCCATGCCTTGCAGTAGAACATTAAGAGAACAAGCAGCGCAAGGCCACAGACATTCGTGAGTGGTGTGGTGGCTGAGGGCGGTGGAGGGGGAAGATTTGAGGAGGCCGGAAGACTGGAGAGGACTTTCCAGCCATCCCGAGTAAGGGATGCGGCGGCCACTCCTGTAGGAGAAAGGGCAAAAGCAAAGGAGAGCGGGAGGACTCTGGGACTTTGTCAGGAACAGCAAGGACAACATCTGCTCGAGCAAAAACAGAAGAACAAGTTATCTTTTTAGGTCACTAGGCCAGATTTCTTTTTAGGTCACACAGGCCACGAGGAACCATTACTGAGTTCTGAGTTTTCACATGGATTATTTCAAGGGTTGAATAAAAATAAATTATGGTGGGGTGAGGTAGAGAGGGGGCTGAACCTAAAGGGCAGAAACCTGTGGGGCAAAGGGGGAATAAATGACTTAGAAAAAAATGAAGCAAGTTTCTGTGATAAGGAGAAAAAATAGGGTCCCAAGTACCACTGGGAGGATTAGCTTTGGTAATTCATCACAAATTGGGGAAAGTGAGGGTGTAGAGCAAAGGGAGCAGCCTTTATTTTTTTTTATCTTCTTGAGAGAGGGTCTCACTATGCAGTTTAAACTGGTCTTGAGCTCACTTTGTAGCCCAGGCTGGTCTTGAACTTGCAATGATTCTCCTGCCTCAGCCTCCCAAGTGCTGGAATTACAGGCGTGTGCCACTACGCCCAGTGGGAGCAGCCTTTATAAAAAGGCAATAAATCCATGAAAATATTTTATTTGTACCTTGTGCCTTCTACAGTTATAAAAGTTCCTCTATAGCCTTTATTACATGTACTTCTTGCAACGTTTATGTGAGGTTGGTTTTTATTTTTCCTGTCATACAGAGAAATAAGGAAGGCCCAGGCAGAAACAGAAGCACTTACCCCCAAAACACCACTACAGTGCTTTGGTCCCAACTTCTTACTACCCCGTCATGTGCCTGCCCACAGCTGAGGCCCCCGCTGAAGCCACATCCTCAGGTGGCTCGGCTCGTGCTGCAAGGACACCTAACGCAGCCCTCGGTCCTTCCTACTTGGAGGAATGCCGTCACCACCGGGCTCATGTGCCCAAGACTTCACCTGCCTGTTTAAGGACATCGATTGCTTAAGCACGCATTTCCAGGGACAGATTGAGCCTCCTGGGTTGACCCAAGGATGGGGTGTGCTTCCATCCTTTAACTTTCTTAAATTTGTCCTTCCTTCCCAGGCACTTGTTAGGGAGAAGGGCAGTATCAGAGGAAGCCCATAAACTGCAGACACAACCTTTTGAACGTGACATTTACAGTAACTACACGAACGTTTTCACATTTACAGTAACCACCCGCTCTCCCATTTTTCAATTCAGATTGTTCTCCTTGTTTATCCTGGTCCACGTAAGCTTCACAGTACTGGACAAAAGCCAACCTACGCTTATGCCAATGAGTATAAAGTCAGGCATTGCAGGGCTTTGCTTTAAGGTTATAAAAACAATTCTATTCACTCATTTTGAAACTGTTGTTTCTCTTACATTTAGATATGTAGTTATGAGTTCTAGTGCAATGGTTTCATAGAAATTAAAAATTCCCCAAGAATATGCCAATTAAAGATGCATCATTATATTTACCTCCTTATATTTTGATAGAACCTAGTCAAATTTCCAGGGGGCATGACCTTTATTTTTTGACAGGTTAGTTGATATGAGCATTTCTATTATCCTTAATAAGAAAGTAGTAGATATTATTTTGCTGTACATTTTTCCACCTGAGGGCTCACCCGCACTATTTGTAGGAAAAGAAAGGCCTTTTCCCTCTGCGATCAAGTCTCCCTTTCCACTCCTACATTCACCCTTCTTTCTGCTTTGAGAAGAAGCTGCTATTGCTAATAAACTTCCCTGTGATCAAGGTAGAAAAAAGACTTCCAGAAATCGATGGCGGCTCCCCACTGGGACCCACAGTCCTGCCCCACCTCCTTTCTTCCCACTTCCTGCTCCCTGAGCAAGGGTCCAGTGTTGTAGGCTTCAGCTCTATATTTAATCCAATAAGAAGATGTGGCCAGTGGAATAGGAAGATAGATCAGAGAGAGAGAGAGAGAGAGGGCCACAATCAGAACTCAAAATTCTGAATAAAATACAGCAAAGGGCCTAGGCAAGAGCTTAAGAAATTCTTTGTGCAGATTTTGGTAACTATTTGATAACCCAAGGGCTGGCAGTGTAGCTCAGTGGTAGAGTGCTTGCGTAGCATGTATGACGCCCAGGGTTTGACTCAGCACTGCCAAAGAAGCAAGTCTTGGGGAATAGTGATGCACACCTGTAGTCCCAGCTACGCAGGAAGCTGAGGTGGGAGGACCATTTGAACCCAGGCATTTGAAGCCAGCCTGTGGGACACAGCAAAACTCTGTCTCACATAGAAGTAGACGAAGGAGGAGGAGGAGGAGGAGTAGAGATGAAGGGGGAGAAAGGGTGAGGAGAGGACAAGGATGAGGATGAAGAAGAGGAGGAGGAGGAGGAGAAAAGGGAGAAGGGGAAAAGGGGAAAAGGGGAAAAGAACACTACAATTAAGACTCACAACAGGGAAGCAGAGGCCAAAATCTTTGAAGCATCTTTGATCCAAAAAGACAAAGATTTACCCCCAAAATAGCAGAGACAAGATGCCTGGGCTGTGGGGACAATGACCAGTTTTTCAGCCAGGACGCTCATGCAGTAGACACCCAAATGCCTTCAAAAGCCCCAGGTGATTTGGCTCAAGCTTTCCAAGGGAAGACCCCGTGAAAAATTCTGATAATGATTCCCTCCTCCTAGGACTCAGACCTTTGTGCCGTCTCCTCCCCAAGTGCGGGCCACACTTCCTGACTTGCTTCTAACAAACAGAATAGGGTGAGCTGTCACTTCTGAGGTAGTTTACAGCGGACCCTGATCCCTTCCTGGCCATCTTGGCTCTCCTTCTGGGGAGCAAAGGATGCCATGTATCTGGGCAGAGAATCTCATACCTCAAGGAAACAGATCTCCCAACATCCAGAAAGCACTGGAAGTCTACGAGCTTGGCCACGGATCCACCTGCATGAATTTGGATGTGGATTCTCTCCCAGCAGAGCCTTAAGATGTCTCCAGTCCAGGCGGATGCCTTGCCTGCAGCCTTATGAGGGGCCCAGCAAAGCTGTGCCTGGATTCCTGGCCCATGTGAATTGTGAATTGTGAGCTCACCAGTGTCTGCTTTAGGTCATTAAGTTTGGGGGTGATTTGTGTAGACAACCAGTCCAGGCACAATGTGATACACGGGCATTACTTATAGACCATGAGACGCATCTGCCTGGAATGACTCTTAGAGAAGACTGCTTTGCGTTTAATGTCCTCTGAAGTTCATGTGTTGGAAACTTGATCCTTGATGCAGTGGGGTTAGCAGGTGGGGCTTTTAAGAGGTGACTGGTCACAAGGGCTCTGCCTGAATGGACTAAGGGTGTTATCGCGAGAGTGGGCTGGTTATAAAAGCAAGTTCGGCCCTCTCTTGCTGTCTCGCCTTCTTGATGCCTTTTGCCACATGTGGCAGAATGAAGCCCCCACCAGACCCAGTCCCTGGATCTTGGACTTCCCAGGCTCCAGAACCTTGATCCAAGTAATGTTCTTTACGAGTTACTCAGTCTGCTGGACCCTGTCCCAGGGTCATAAAACAGACTAAGCCAAAGACCGAACAAGAAGATTCTGCCTAAAGCCCTTCCTGACTTCCTTCCAAAGAATACCAAAGATATATTTTCATTGCTGTTTGTAAACCATACACCATGTAATTATTTATATGAGCCATGGAAAAAAATCAGTATTTTCATTTACAGAACAATAGTTACTCGGCAGTTACTTTCAGTTTTTTCTCAGTATCCCGAGCCCCTCCCTCCTCAGGTAACTTCCTGCCATTCCCTACTTACAAAGTAGTCTGTTAACAGGAACTCAGATTTGTTTTCTGTCGATAACATTGCAGTTTCTTCCATCAGAGTCTGCACATCTTTTTCAACATCCACCTTGCTGATGGCTCAGTGAATCTGGGTGTGGCACTGTAACGCCAAGAACAGCAGAAAACAGAGGTGGTGAGGAATTGTCTACGGCCAGTATTTACTGTGCACATCAGAACTAGAGAAATTGTCATGACTCACTGTGGTCAGGGTTTGGCCAAAAAGAGAAATGTGTTGGCTGTACTGGTTTAAGTTGTTGCATAAAAGTTGAATTCTTTCCTTCTCCAGCTCCAGGATGCTCTGAAGAGGATGAAAATGAGATAAACCATTTGTTCTGCAAAACTGAAGTCCCACGTCGAACACTAGCACATCGGCAGGGAGTCTGGGCTAACTGTCAGGGCTTGTATTTTCACTGCAGACAGTGGAGGGAGATTTCCAGGACAGATATGTGACTTTGTGTCCATCATCCTCCTTTAAGATGAGCTTAACTCAAAAGCTTTCTCCAGGGTCTTTTGTCCCAAAAGCCATTTACACAGATACCATGGGCTATTTGATGCTCACAAAGAAGGACAGGAAAAGAAGTATCTGTGACTTCTGGGAAAGGAGAGTGAAGCCCAGGAAAACCCATATTCACATGCTGGAAATGCATTTAGACACCAGATACAACCAGAATCCCTCCTAGTGCAGATGAGTGTTAGCCTATATCTCAGTGCACGAGTCTGTCAGTCTCTGCCGGGCAAAGATGAGACTCACACTGCCAGGCTAAGGAGGTTACTTGGCAGTAACAGAGTCCCAAAGTCTGATGAATTTGTAATCCTGGCCTAAAATTGAGGCCAAGGGTCAGGGTCCACTCTTTGTTTGTTTTGTGATTACGGGGCTGGGGACAGAACCCAGGTCCTTGCACATGCTAGGCAAGTGCTCCACCACTGAGCTACATCCCCAGCCCCAAGCCTGCTGTTTGAAAGCGGAATGGCTACGTGGGATGACAATTCCATACTGGTGTTCCATGACTTTGAGGATGAGGGGTAAATAAGGAAGTAAGGGGCACCACACATTTTAGGAACAGTCACTTATTAGAGTCCTGCTGCTTTAGTTGCTGACTAATGCCTTAGAGGGAGGACACAGAAGCTCAGCGAGGTCCGGTGGGGTGTGCAAGGGAGATCCTTCGGCCACGCGGGGGCAGTGTGAGGCTGCTCCGAACAGGGCCGCACCCGGAAGACTTTGGGCTTTGACAGAGACAACAGGTGTCCAAGACAAAATTCTCTCCATCATGTTTTTTATAAGGACAATTTACCCTTTTATCAAGAGACAGCCAGGTGGGGTGCTTTTATGGCTGTCGTCCTATCTCCTGGGTCCCACAAAGTAAAAAGTGCTCAGCAGGAGTGTTTCATGAAGAAGGCTTGGGGAAAGTTGGTGGTCACACAGCCTTAAAGAAGAAGTGCGCTGTGTCTAAAGATCTGTCTTTGGTGGGCATGGGGCTAGGGAGAACCACAGGGCTCCCCAAGCTCTCCTGTCTGTCTCCTATGGTACTACTGTGGCTCCACCTCCCTGACCCAGTATGATGGTCCACTACATCCTTGCAAATGATGGTAAAATTCACATAACATAAAATGTACCATTTTAACTTTTTTTTTTTTTTTTTTTTTTGAGATAGGGTCTTTCTGTGTAGCTTAGGCTGGCCTTGAACTCACTATGTAGCCCAGGCTCGCCTCGAACTCGCAGTGATCCTCCTGCCTCAGCCTCCTGAGTGCCAGGATTACAGGTGCATATGCCATCATGCCCAGCTTCATTTTGACTGTTTTAAGTATATAGTCCGGTGTCGACATACACTTGTATTGTCGTGCAACTATCAACAGCACCCATCTCCAGAACTTCTTTCATCTTATAAAACTGACACTCTCCCCATGAAATAAGAACTGACCATTTCCATTCTCTCCGGGGCCCCAGAAGCCATCATTTTACTTTCTGTCTTACAGAATTCTACTAATATAAGTGTCTCAAGTAAGAGGAATCATAACATACATTTCTTTATGTCTGGATTATTTCACCTAGCATGTTTTCAAAATTTATCCATGCTGCGGCTCGTGCCAGAACGTTCCTCCCTTTTAATGCTGCATAATACTCCACTGCATGTGCTCTGCGTTGTTGGTTGGAAAGCTTTTTAACAGTCCTTTCAAATGCAAGCTTTCACTGGCTCAGGTGGTAACTGAACACCTATGCCAATCCCATGCAAATGTAGAGGTTGAACCCAGAGTCCTGACCTTTGGGTAGGAAGCCGGGAGCTGTGGCCTGTGGCCCTCTTCTTAAATGCATCAGAAACTGCACGATTTTTCCTTTTTGGGTACTGGGGATTGAACTCAGGACCTTGTGCTTGCCAGGCAGGTGCTGTGCTGCTGAGCTACATCCTCCGACCCCCTAGAAGCTACACAATTTTTGTAAGTCAGCAGGAAACAAATGCCTTTGTTTCTGCTGGCAGTCTCTTGAGTCTCCAAAATCACAGGCACCAGCCGTTTGGATGTGAGCATTTGCCCTTCTGCCTCCCAGATAGAGTATAAAAGACACAGAATAACACGCTCTCAAACACATTGCTTTTTCAAAGGGCAGAATCAAAATGGCTCACAATAAATATCTGAAACAAATTCTGCTCATTTGTTTGGATCTCAAATGGGACACTCTTCAAAAAAGAAAAAAAAAAAAGACCTTACCCTACATAAAGAGATCTAGAAAGCAGCTGTTCCGGCTTACCACTAGGAGCAAGAGACAGGGAAGAAAAGAAAAAAGCCAGGTTTCCAACACACTGGGCCCTGGGGGTGGCCGTTTCTGTACTTTGACAAGTGCTGCGCCTGGAGCATCAGTCTGAGACTAAAATAACCAGTGTCCTTTGGTAGAGACAGTCGTGTTTAACAGATCTGAATTACATTTTGGGGAAATCATTAAAGTGATCTATGTTTGCTCATGAAAAGAGGTGGAAATAAATTCTACTGTGCGAAGGGGCAATCCATATCTCATTACATGAATTATTGCTTTCTATTATCCTTTTTTTCTGTATAAGATGGGCGATGGGGGATAAGACTTGGAAGGACCTCAAACTGTCCTCTTGCATTTTCATGACAACATGTACAGAAAAAGCTGTGGTCAGACCGAGACCACAAGAGACAGTGGATTTAGAGCCCGTCTGGAACGCAGGTACCACAATAATCCACAATCTTCGTTCTTTATCCAGTTCCTGCTGTTCCAGGGTTCAGGTCTGGACTACAAAAAGACCCTGGTGGAACTGTGTTTTCATTTAAATTGCTTTCATAAAACTGATAAAAGAAGTATCATGCTGTTCCTAAGCCAGGGGTTCTTGAAGTCCTGAATGACTAGAAGTCACCTGGACCCCTTTTCTGAAATTAGAGACTCTGATTCACCAGGTCTGGGAGGTGTGAAGGAATCTGCATTTTAACAGATATACTAGGTGCCTTGAAACATTGTCCTAGGGTCACAAAAGGCAACAGTCAAATGCGTTCTAAAATCTTCACAACTCTTCCGCCCAGAGATGACCACTATCAATATTCTGATATATTTTGGACTATTGAGTATGTATAATTTTTATCTTCTTATTATCTACCAAATTATTCAGATTTGGAATTCAATCTTTTCCTCACACCTGAGCAATTTTCCACGCCATTAGTTTCTGAAAATACCATCTTGATCACTTCATAGTGGTCAGTTGTGCAGGCAATTTAGTCATTACTTTTCTGCTAGCCATTTGAGTTGTTTCTTCCCTTTTAATTTTAATGTATTTTCAGCAGAAATCTGGGTGTTGTTTTCAGTTATTTCCTCAAAACAGATTTGTAGAAAGGAAATCACTTTTTCTTAGCATGGGTCCTAGGAGAGAATTAAGCACTAATATTCTAAGGCAGTGATGGCGAACCTTGCAGGGCTTTAAATGATAACAAATGGCTGCCTGTGGCATGTGTGCTATAGGTTTGCCACCCCTGTCCTAAGGTATCTGAACAAGGTATGATAAAAAAAAGACAGAGAATAGTTATATTTTAAAAATTCCCTACAGTAAAAAACACATTGCCATGAGTTTCCCTTTACATACTCCCCCTGACTTCAAACACACTTATCCCATCATTCTTGTCACTTTCTGAAGCAGTTCTGGAAGTCTTCTTTCTTGTGTGTCTTGAGTTGAGCTGTTGTGTACAGCTACCCGGATGTCCTGAATTGATTAAAATTTTGATTTTGGAGGTGAGCTAGAAGGCACATGGTATGGATCCAGTGAATAAGGTGGATGAGACAATCTGTAATGTTGTTATTGGATAGAAATTATTGTCAGTGTTTTGAATCAATTCAGGACATTAAGGCAACCACAAAAAAATGCATGAGAGAGTTCCAGAACTGTTTCAAAAATTCACAAGAATGATGGGATAAAAGTGATTGAAGTAAGGGGAAGTATTTTGAGGAAAATTAATGGCAATGTGTCTTTTATTACAATAATTCAACTGATTTAAACATTAACTGTATAGTTTAATCACATCTCATATACTCATATGGGCATGTAGATTTTCCAATCAATGCTGACCATCTATGCAGTGGTCCCATAAGATCACAGTGGAGCTGAAAATTCCCATTACCTACTGAAATTGTGGTCATTGTAACATCATTGCCCAGTACAGTACATTACACACTTATGGTGATGCTGGTGTCAACCTACCTTCTGTATTGCCAGTTGTGTAAGAGTATAGCATGTGTAATTGTGTACTATGTCCATGTATTTATTATGCTATACTTTTTAATCACTGTCTTTGAAGGTACAATTTCTATTTGTAAAAACTTACCCTAAAACAGTATGAAGCCACAGTTTCACACATCTCATGTTTACTTCATTGCTTGTTGCACCAAGTGGCCCCATTCACTGAGTGACCTACGCCATCTAGGTGTCTATGGATGTTCAGATAATGAAATGGTCCTCTGATTAAATTCTCAGGATGTAGGCCCTTGTTCAGGGACACACAACCATACTGAGTTGCCATCTGTCTGCGCTTAAGTGGTACTGGCCACTTAGAGAGAGAGAGAGAACAGCCACTCAGATCATCTCCTTGTTCTCTGGTTCAGATGAGGAACACTGGTTGAGAAAACGAACTTTTTTTTTTTTGAGACAGAGTCTCGACTATGTAGTTCAGGCTGGCCTTGAACTTACTATGTATCCCAGGCTGGCCTCAAACTTGCAGAGATCTCCTGCCTCAGCCTCCCAAGTACAGGGATTACAGGCATGCACCACCATACCCAAGGAGAAAAGAAACATTTTTAAAGCTTCAACACACATTGGAAATGGTTGTGTAAAATAATTCCTAGAGTAAGTATTATCAGTACCAAGCCTTTGATTCTTGGGAATTCTTGATAGTGCAGCTATCATTTTAAAAAATCTATTGTAGAATATGTCTATCAATTGAATTACTTCTTCTTGAAAAAGAGAAATATAATATGACCATGAAGTAAGAGGGATAATTTTAACATGCGGTTTGTGCAATTGGTTTCATCACTTAATAACCACACTTCAGACTTTATATTTCTCAAATAGGAAACTGTTTTGAGCATAGTTCAATGAGTATTCTCTGAAAGAACTGGTAAATGCAACCTACAGAGTACCAAGAATTGAGAAGACACTGTATAGGGCTCTAAAATGAATTCTGTGTGTGTATGTGTGTGTGTGTGTGCATGTGTGTGTGTATGTGTGTTACTGGAGATCAAACTTACCAGTGAGCTATACGTCCCCCCCATTTTAATTTTGAGACAACATGTTGTGCAGTTGCCTAGGCTGGTCTTGAACTTGGACTCCTCTCACCTCCTCTCACCTCCCTGATCTGAACAGCTGGGATTATGTTATGCACCGACATGCTGGGCTAAAATGAGTTGTTATATTCAATTTTTAAAGAAAGATGGTGAAAGTATGGACAAAAAATGAAATGGAAAGTCCCCAGTTATCCCACTGCACTTCTACTGAAATGCTTTCAGTGAATTCAGCCTGCATTGTTACATGTTTTTTGAGACAGAGTCTCGACTATGTAAATTTACAGGAGATATAGAATGTGTAAATTCTATTATGTAAATTCGAACATGTAAATTTACAGGAGATATAGAATGACTAGAGTAACATGTGAGGGAAGGAATTGGTGTAGACTGAATGCATATAAGCTCAGAAAGCAAGTTGTAGCATTACTGGGAGTGAGTGTGCTGCAAGGATGGACTGATAGACAGAGGTTGTCTCCAGCTGGGTCCAGTGGGCTGGGCCAGGCACTCAGGAGGCAGAAGGGAGCTTACAGGAAGGTGGGGTCCGAGGAACTGCATGGGCTGCACAGGAGAGGGCTTGAGGTACTGTCAGCCTCCAGCCCAGTGTTTGCAAAGATCCTGGACAGAGGGACGAAGGAAAACCTTACTTTCCCTCAAGGAGACAGGTTTCAAATGACACGCCATGTGACTTGCATTCTGATAAAACAATAAAACAACAAACAAGCCGCAAGTACAAAGGAGGTCTTTGGAAATGTCAGTGAATGTGCGTCCTGCCAACATCAGAACGATTTTGTAAGGAAAGACAGATAATCTCCATGAGGCTACAACATGAAAATTAGGACTAATGCCAGAAGGGAAGAAGAAAGGAGCAGGAAGTTCTTAACCTGAAAAGGGAAACTGACATAAAGGAAAGAGTGACCTCAAAAGAGCCCCTATTAATGCGCATTGCACCAGCAATGCTGAACACACACAAAAACAGGCCAGCTACTCATTAGCTCTACCCTGGAAGAAGCAGTGCTGTCACTCATTGCTGTGGCACAGGGGGCGGGGTGAGGGAGGAGGAGATGCTGAGCTTACAGTTTGCTCAGCGTTCTTGAAGGGTTCCTGCAGGACGGAGTGGCAGCCGCGCTTTCACAGCCATCGGGGAAGCCAGCCCCTTGGAAAAGCTACAGCTTCATTAGGCGGTCCCAGGACAGCGGCAGCAAATCATGGCACAACTGTCGCAGCAGGATGTTTGTTATCATTGAAAGCTCTAAAAGGTTCACCACGGCTGTCCAAGGAGGTAAGGCAAGGTCAAGCCTGGGTTGCAGAGCCCGAAGATATAGAAGGATGGTGAGAATACGGACAAAAAATGAGACTGAAAGTCCCCAGTTATCCCGTTTTTGTTTTAAAATGGGTGAAGTTGGAATTTTAAATGCCTTTCCTTATCTACTTTATCTAAAATCTATTCAGGGGCTGGGGATTTAGCTCAGTGGCAAAGCGCCTGCCTGGCAAGCGCAAGGTCGTGAGTTCGGTTCCCGGTACCGGAGAAAAACCAAAAAAAAAAAATAAATAAATAAAATAAAATCTATTCAGCATAAGCCAGGGGTAGGCAAGATCCTATGTCCCGTGGTGGAAATGAAAGAGGGGTTTCTTCTCATTTCTCCCCCTTTGACCTAAAGTTTCAGCTCGTTTACTTTCTTCTTTCTTGTCTAACTCTGCATCTATCCTACCTGAATGTGGCTGAACTGCAGGAGATTTAAAACCAGCCTTTCAATTTCTGCTTGCCTGGAGCTCTCCTGCAACCTGTTCTGCTGGGGAAAACTCACAGTGTAGAGGCCTAGGTTGAATCCCAGAACCACCTTGAGCAGCTGACCTCGTCTCACTAGCCTCAAATTCCTCTATCAGGAATGGAAACACTGTCTTCTTCATACTGTTGGACAGGTACAAAGCACAGTGCGCACGACTACACTGAGCATCACGCCTGGCCGCACCACGTGCCAAGACCTTCTACAAGTCAACCATTGATGGAGAGCACTATGAAGCAGACCTGAGCAGGACTTAAATTAATCAATTGGCTTTTCATGTTCACTTGTGAATCTGTCCAAGGCCGAGGCTCCTTATCTGGAAATGGCGGGCTCATAGTAAGTGAACCTCTGTGAGTCACTAATCCCTACTAAAAGCTGTAGTGGTGGATGAAGCCAGAAAGCTTCAAAGGATAAGACAAGATCACAAGGACACCTGGATCAGATCTCAACTAGATAAAGACTATAGCCTCAGGCACCTCATTCTTCAGTGAATTAATTTAACACCTTATTTAGAGAAGACCTTGAGCGGTTCCGCCCTTCTTGAGTATTCCCCTCCCTTCTTCTGATAACTAAATAAATATGGGCGACCCAGAGAAGGTCTTGGTTTTAGCCCTGAGAGAATCTTGAATGATGTGAGAGGGCTTTGATCTTCCTGGAGCCCTGAAGTCATTCCATTTGCCTCTCTATTTAGCCTTCCCTTACACTCATCCCATACACCTGATCAACCCGCAATAACTAAGGGATACTATTAACACCATAAACAATTGGAGTACTTCCTTTTCTTATTGTAGCAGCTTTAAGCATTTTTTTTTAAACTTGAAAGATGTGGAGAAAAAGAAAGCAAAAATATTTAGCATCTTATCAATCAGAATTGATAATTATTTCATTTGGTCATATTTATGTCCACCTGAAAATGGAGAGCTAAGCTATTTGTGTACAGCTGGGAGAACTTTTGGTCCTGTGTTGGTTGTGTTCTTTCACCAGGGGCTGAGCCATGCTGTGTGGCTGTCTGTGACAGTCCCGCTGTACTCCCTGCATGCGCGCCACACCCCCCAGAGATCCAGCCAATAGCCATATGTTTACAAACTGTACATAAAACTCAGCATAGTTTTGGTGTGAGATAAATTTTTAAAGCTTATATAGATTGTATATATGGTATGTTTCTTTCCAAAATCGTATTTTTTTTTTGGTCTTTTTGAGACAGGGTCTCACTGTGCAGTTCAGGCTGGTCTGGAGCTCACTTATGTAGCCCAGGCTGGCCTGGAACTGGCCACAATCCTTCTGCCTCAGTCTCCGGAGTGCTGGGATTACAGGCGTGCACAACATGCCTGGCCCAAAATCATATTTTTGAAGTAAATTCATATTTAAATATAGTTTTAATTAACTTTTTAGTGTTGGTATTAGTCTATTTTCCAGTTTAGAGAACATTTTAAGGGTGCTCTGTTGATGGATATGAAGATTTTGTATAATTTTTCCTCACCATGCAATTATAAACAATTCTATAACAAACTTTTTCTGTGGCACTGGGGATCGAATCCAGGGTCTTGTGCATGCTAGGCAGTGCCCTACCACTGAGCTACATCTCCAGCCCTTTTTGAAATTTTTATTTGGAGATGAAGTATCATAAGTTGTTCCCAGGCTGGCCTTGAACATGCAATGTTCAGGCTTCAGTCCAAGTAGCTGAGATCACAGGCATGTACACCACACTCAGCTTCTTGCATCCTTACTGAAGTATAGGTGTTAATGTTCCTCAGAGGGGAACTGCTGTATTGTGTGTCCATGTGCATTTCGGTTTTACTAGATACTGTTAAACTATTCCCAATAAAGGGGCACAAGAATTCTTGTCCCCTAATGTCCTTGCCAACACTTGCTATTGTTCCCTCCCAATTTTGCCAAGTGACTGAGCCATTTTTTCCTGTTTCGGGGTTTTTGATTTCCCTTTTTTGAGTTGCTTGTTCATATCTTTTGACTATTTTTGTTGGATGACTTGCCACAATTCATTCTGTGTGAGTTTGCACATTTAAAGTGTGAAGATGGTACTTCACCCATTGTTATAAATCTTCAGTGGCCAGCACAATGCCTGGCATGAAGCAAACTCTGTAAGTGACCACCGTGTACGTCAGCCCTTAGCTAAAACTCACATCTGGATGCCTAACGTCTAAACCATAGGTTACACTTTACTCTGATCGCACTTACAATCAGCTGGGTGCCCCTGTATCCACTGAGAATCACAAATAGACACTCGGGCAAATGATAATAAATTTTCACTGGTAACTGTGTCCATGAAGAAATGGAAACATGGAGGGTAAACATGGTCTGAGAGTCACTATGAGAGTAAGGATCAAGACAGAAATTAGGTTTTGTAATTGTAGATCTCACCTTCAATTCCAAGGTCAGGTAAAGCTCTACAAGAGAAACAAATGTGAACACACGATTTACCTTGTAACAGTTTTCTAGTGTGTTTTCCCATTTCAGTCTGGTTGAATAGCCTGCCATGTTCTTTTGGTAGTACTTTTCATCCTCCTTTTCCAAATTCTCAGTCGATTTTTTCAATTTATTGAAGAGCTAAAGTAAGAATATCACTGTCACTGTCGTATTCATTAACGTATTTATAAAAGCCCTTTATAATTCCACAGGAAGAAGTGTATGTGGCCCAATGATATAAAACTCTATATAAAGTGTTAACTATATATGACAAAACAAAAGATCTTTTTCTTTCTCAGAAAAAAAGGATGACAGAGCCATAAGGAGACCTAAGGTCCTTTCAATATGACACCTTCAATTTTACACATGAAGAAATTGATGGCTTATATATAAAATAATTTGCCTAGGAGGCAAAATCAAATCAAGAAGGCAAACTGACAGTGTATTTGAGCATCAAAAACACGAGTCAAGTATCTCCAACTTAAAACGTCAATCTACCATTAAATTCTACAGTCTTATGTGGCAATACTTCAGGTTCTCACATTTCTTATGAGGATGAGTAGAGACTGTGACATTATGTAATTTTTAGAGCAGGCCTGGTCTGACCATCTTAGAGCCAACATTGCAGCTTTGGAATCAGACTTCTTCGGTTTGAGCTCCGGTTCTGCTGCAGATAAGTTACTTAAACCTCACGAGCCACAGTTCCTTTATCTCCCTGATGGGGCTAATGGCAGCTCCCATGTCCCTGGGCTGCTTTGAGGATTCAGGTAGGTAATGCAGCTAAGACACATGCTAGTTACACTCTCTGATACCTTGAGAGGCGCCCAAAGATCGATACGTACAGTAATTACCCGAGAAAAGCCTGCAGCGCATGCCCACTGTTTACTGTAAGCTATGGGCAGTGTGACAGATAACTTCCCCTCACTCTTCGCCCAAGAGAGTCCTTTTGCTAGTCACCAAGATCTGCCATTCCAATTGCTAAATCTTCAGGGAAATCAAAGTAATACAAAAGTTCCAGGAGCACAGTAGCTGAAATGGATGATTAAAATGTCCACGCAAGTGATTTCATACCTCTGAAAACTGAGTAAAGTTAGTTTTACAAGAATGATTTTAAAGGTTTCCTGTGCATAAGCCTGCCTGGGAGCGGGTGGGGCTGGCTTGTACAATTTCAAGTTTGGGATCCCACAAGTAGCAATACTAATTCATTAACTCTGTAATGAGATTAGCAAATCTGAACTTTCACTCCCTCTTCAGATGTTTGCCATGCAAATGGTGCTCAAATCACACTTTAAGGAGTAGCAAGAACACCCCTAGTTTTAGCTGTTTAGCAGCTTCAAGGACAGAGACAATGACTTTTAAGAGTGATATTCTTTACGGTTAAGATTTTGACCAATGTCACAATAGTGAAGGACTTTCATCCCAAGTGCTGAATATTAATACCACTCACTCTACTTTTCCAATTGATATGCTGGGCTGGCTATGTAAACATCCCTCCACTCAGATGTATGACCTATACAGGGCACATTGGTTTTGTATTTCAAGTGTGATGAACCACATCAATCTGTAGAAACATGACCTTGTGAATTTCAAGTTGATAATGATAGCGTAAAAGCCTGGAAGAGTGCTACGCTATACTCTGCTGAACACTGTCTTAGATTCTCAGGAGAATGCTTGGACACCAGCAGTGAGCACTGACCTTTGAGATCATCCCTCGCTTTCACCAGCCTGCGTTACAGTGCTACTGACCACCCGTTTCTACATGGCAAACATACCAGAAATAGCCCCAAGTGGACATAAAAGAAGCATGTGGACTTCTATGTTTTCAGTTTAAAAACGTCCTTTACTAAAATTTGTTGACATTGATTTTGTTTTCTTTTCTTTTCTTTCTCTTGCAAGGAACATCTTATTCACCAGGTGTTAATTATTGAGTGACTGCAGTATGTCATAGGCAAAGTTATGGGAATAGAAAAGAGAACAAAATAGGTTCCTTCTCTAGTTAGAGAGGCACACAGGTCACTGCTATGTTGTGATGGGTCTCAGAGACTCTGGATGACAGCTGTGCTTAGCTGTCATTGGGACACCAAGAGAGGCAACTAAGCCAGTCTTAGAATGAAAATGACATTTAAACTGTTGCTTCACATAGAGTATGCAATGAAAGAAAGAAAAAAAGATCCTGTGTGAATAGACCTAAAATGGAAGTAACAATTAGTGTGGCAAAATATCAAGGCATAAAGAAAAACCTTGGTGAGTTTGGAGCACCCATACAGAAAGAGAGAGAGAAAGAGAGAGAGAGAGAGAGAGAGAGAGAGAGAGAGAGAGAGAGAGAGACAGAGACAGAGACAGAGACAGAGACAGAGACAGAGAGAAAGACAGATGGGGGAGAGATGAGAAATGACGCTGAAGTTCTAAGCAGAGATCAAGTCAAGGAGGGTCTTCAGGGCCACATAAGAGAGGGTACACTGTAATCTGAGGTCACTGGGAAGCCTTTGAAGGCTTCTAATGGGAGAATGATAAGTTCAGATTCAAGTTTCAGGACCACCAGCTTTGCTTGTACAAGAGGATTAGATGGAGAGGCACACCGAAGGCGCAGACGCTGATTTGTTTGTGGCAGTCATCCAGACAGATGCTGACGGTGTCCCCAAGCACACCAGTGGCAGGGAGACAGGTAGAAGTAAAGAAGTTCAAAAAACATTTTTTTAAGGATTAGAATTGGGAGGATATAGCAGGTGATAATATTCAAGGATCTGGGAAGCAGAGGGATAGCAAGTATTTCTGGTAGAGAGAAGAGGCGAGTCTGATTCTGGAGGTGTGGGAGGCAGTTTGGAGACTGGGATGGGTTGGGGATGGGTATTGGGTATTTGTTCACACGGACACGGTAGTCAGAGCTTTAAGAGTAAATGTACTGACGACCTGACGTTGACAGTATCAGACTGGATGTGGAAACGCAATGGTAAGTTAAACAGAGGTGGCCAAAGAGAAGTCTTCAGGAAAAGCAATATAAAATGTCAGCGAGACAAAGGGAGTCCATAAAGGAGCCTAAGATAACATTTCCAGAGGGGCAGGAGGAAAACTGAGAGACAGAGAGACAGAGAGAGAGAGAGAGAGAGAGAGAGAGAGAGAGAGAGAGAGAGAGAGAAAGAGAGAGACTGCTATAGTTAAAAAGAAGAGAATGTTCCCTAGAGGGGGAAATTAACTGTGTTTGAAACATTGCTTTGCACCTCACAGAGTAGAGCTTCTAAGAAGTTCCTAAAGGTAAAACTGGAAAGTATTCACTGACTTTCACAGTGACATTGTTTTGGATGGCAAGAACAAGCGGAGGGAAATGGTAGGGAAAGCTTGGCTAGGGCAGCGTGAGGCACAAACAGGAGCTGAGAAAGTGGAGATAGCAATCAATCCTCTCACAAAAATCTTATTGTAAACAGAAGGAGGGGAGGTGGTGGAGGAACAGGAATCGGGCCGTGACAGGACGACTCTTACGCTTCCGGTTCTCCCAAGCTGTGGGTGCAGTAGCCTGAATATCCATGTGCTCCACGAGTCATAGGTTCAGATTCGAATGCCCAAGGTGGTGGGAGATGGGGTCTTCGGGAGGTGATGGGGCGTGGCCAGTGGAGCGCTCATGAACAGGATAAGTGCCTCTGTAAGGGAACCCCAGAGTTCTCTCTTGCCCTCCTTCTGCCATGGAAGGATATAACTAGAGGACTGTAGTCTGCAACCTGGTAGACGACCCTCACTGGAACCCAACCATTACTGGGACCCTGAGCTTGGACTTCTAGCCTGCAGAAATGTGAGAGGTAATTTGCCTGTTGTCTAAGATGCCCAGGCTGTGGTACTAGTTAAGGCAGCCCAAGCAGATTAAAATGGGATCCAAGAGGGCGGGCAGCCCGCAGAGGGTCTGTAAGAGGCGGGAGGGTGGGACTCCCCCTGGAGGCAGGTGCCTGCTGCCTTCTGTGCGCTCTGTGAGGCCGGAAGCAGGACAGTGGGAGAGGGTGATGGGTTGGAGTAGCAGAGCACGAAGGCTTAGATCAGCTTGGGGTGGGAACCAGGACTGCTGAGCAGGGGCATGGGAGGAATCGCTAGCAGCACAGAGGAGAGACGAAGGCTGCAGGTATGATCCTTTTGTGTGGATGAGAAATGAACACTACCTGAGGTTTTCAGCTTCATAATTAAAACAACAGCTACAAAGCAGTAAAGATGAGAGGGGTCCGTGACATCAAACCCAGCAAAAGTCATGCTTGGAGGGTGCTGCAGGAGAGCAGAGGAGGCCTGTGGACTTCGACCTCTCAGGCAAGCTTTTAATGAGGAAGGAAGAGGAAATCACCACTCAGCAGGGCAAGCTTTCTTCGTGATTGCTTGGCAGTAATAAAGCTTCTAATGAGGGCTCAGGATGCCTAGGACAGGTCCTGGTGCCTTTGACACACCTTGCGGGCAGGTCATCATTCAGCACTTGCTATGAGCCTTTCAAACTGTGAAGACTGACACATGCAGAACTAGGAAGCTTGTAAAATCTTGCTAGCAATGAATTTAAATTGCTCAACTCATAGCTTCTTCAGATGAAAGGATGGAGCCACTTGCAATGACCATGTTCTTTTTAAGAATGTTTGGGACTGCAGCGCTGCTGGCTTCTTTTCCTTTCCACCTTTTAGAGAGGGTGTTATTTCACAGTTTCTAGTATGGGACATAATGGCAAGAAGTGTATGAGATAGCCTATTGGGGTATAGGCAGAATGTATTTGATTTTACTCCTGCACCTCAGTATTATGGGTGTTCTTATTTGCCTAGGAAGTTTTGAAGCATACTCTTCTTTAATATACAAGAGGACACTATTGTCCACACATGGACAGTTGTGGATCCTGAAGTGGCTTGGGGAAGTGGGGAATTTGGCAACATGAGAAGTTGCTGTGGGCCCCGTAAGAGTCTTTACTTCCAGTGTCCTGGGACATGTGCTTTTTGACATGTGCCTGGATCATAATTTTCAGAGGTATTACCCAGCTTTAACTGAACAGAATTCACGCATCTTAGAAATATTTCTGCCGTGAGCCCATAGACTGAGTTTGCTAATAATTATACCAAGATAAACTAAGCATCAGAGCTGATATTTTCTTCTGCTTCTGGTTATAAGCAAACACCACCCATGTGCAAAAGCAATAACAGAATGACCTAGTGGGATATGACAAGACATTAATGAAGGGGCTGGGGATTTAGCTCAGCGGCACAGCACCTGCCTGGCAAGCGCGAGGTCAGGAGTTCGATCCCTGGTACCAGAAACAAACAAACAAACAGAAAGACATTAATGAAGACATTTTTGGGGGAATCAAACTCAGGACTTTGCTCTTGCAGGCAGGCACTGCACCACTGAGCTATATCCCCAGCCCAAGACATTTTAATTACTTAAAAATTTCAAATTATCAAAAGGACTGTTAGAAATATGAATTTATATTTACTGTGGTAGAGGCTAAACCTTGCCCCAAGTGTTTATCATGCATATAAATTTTTTAATGATTATTATTCAGGGATTGTATAAAGGCATCCCTACAAGCTAATCATTTAAATTTTGTTTCATCTTTGCCTCATCCTGCAAACATTTCTACTTTGCTTTGTAATGTTCATAACATATTAGTATAACATATATTTATATATATTTCTACATATTATAAAATAGCATAGGTAATTATACCTAATTATTATTTATTTGGCATGTGAACTGAGATTTTTTCTATTAATAGAGTTCTCTAACAAAAACAAAAAAGTTGGACACCGTGGTCCCTGTCAATAATACCTTCTAAAACTATGTGTGGCCCAGGGTGATCCAGAATCCCTCTCATCCTCCGCCAGCCTATGGCTCTGCAGAGAGCCCGCCCCAAGCAAGGAACAGCAGGTCTCAGGGCTTCCGGTAAGGGCATGAAGCGCACCCGTCTCCAGCCACTCATCCCACGCAGCAGAGCAGCTTACCTTCTGCTTCTCCTTCTGAGTCATGGATTGCTTTGAGCTTTCTATCAGATGGAAAAGCGCTTCATGCTTCTTGGTACTCACCATTAATTTTTTCTTAGCCTAGAGTCACACATACAAACAAGAGGGAAAAAATAGGAGCAGAAACTGATTAGCAAGAGAAAAACTCTTCTGTTCTGGAACAAGACATGTTTCTGTGCCAGCTTTAATGATTGTATCATTTTAGTTCTTTGTGCCTGCCCTCACCTTAAAATCTGCTGAAAGTAGTGCAGCAGTGAACACTTTGCATGAGGACCACGGTGTGATTTCATTATTGTATTGTGTACACTCAAGGGGGTTATATGCTTTGCTAAATCACCAAGGGCCTGCAGGCCTCTACAACATTGTTCCACAGAGCATAATGGCTGTGCCAAAACAAACATGGGAGCCTGCCTGCACCACTCTTTTAAGTCAAACTGGCCACAGTTGGGTTGTTTTAAAATATCGCCTTAAAAGTTCAGCAAGGGTGGAGACCTCCCTCTCTGATGCTCAGCTTGAGAGCTGGGGCTGCCTGGCATCTTAGGAAAGGCCCCGTGCTTGCTGGGGTGTAGGCTGTGAGGGAAGAGGCAGGGAGGGAGGAAGCTCTCCGTGTCTGGCCACCCCATGGACACCTCGAAGCATTCAGAGGATCGTGTCTTATTCTGCACACTTGAATTTGGCTGAGAGATGATGCTGCAGAGATGAAGTACACAAAAAGATTTAGGCTGAGTTGGACTCAGCCTGTTCAGAAACTTGGTTGATTGAGACTGGCTTCTCCCTCAGATTACAAGGACTGTGGGACTGGATAGCCAAGGCTATCCTTGAGGTTTCTCTCTCCTTGGGAATTAGAGGCAAAGGCTTCCGTCTTGCTCAGAATACTTGAAGACTCTACGATCCAGCATCCCACAGTCCATTTCCTCTGCCTTCAGTCAGTCACATGCCTGCTGATAAATGAGTGAGAGAGGCAAGGGTACTTGGTCTTTTAAGGCTTTGCACTTGTGTCTGCAAAATAGACTGTATTTCATTATCAACATGCTCAAGCCCTTGGTTATAGGTCTGTTTTGTTTTGTTTTTTTTTTGTACCAGGAATTGAACTCAGGACCTTGCACTCACTAGGCAGGCACTTATGCCACTGAGCTATATCCCTGGCTGATAAGCCCTTGGATTGCAACTGGGGAGAGCATTATTATAGCTCAAGAATTTTATGTTCTCTAATTTCTCTGTCACTCTTCATAAAGAATTCAATCATTTTATTTAGAAAAATGACTTGGTAGAAACTGGGAAATAATAAAAAGTGGATTTTTTGTTGTTGTTGCTCTTGTTGTTCTTGGAAGCAATTGCAGCTTGTGAGCATTGTTCCTGACTTTTGGTTCATTGTATTGAATTTCCTGTGAATGCTGAATCTTGAAAGAAAATTGGTTTTTAAAAACAATCCTTTTATTAAAAGCTCAGAAAATTAAGAGCAAAGGTAAAAGAAAAAGGCACATGACTGGATATTTTTCTGAGGCTTTTAAAAATGTACTATAAATGCTTAAATAAGTATTTATTGTAACAGTGATTCTCATGAAATTCCATTTGCCAGTACGACACTGGGTGTAGAAGTTCATTGCCGCAAACATCTCTTATTAATGTCCTTGACCTGTGTAGTCAGTCCTCAGTTTCATCGGAAGTTTCTGAGTCACCCGGAGATATGTCTGAGGGCATCTCTGGTTATTGGGCACAGGGGCTATTTATTTGCACAGGTTCTCTTCAGACACTAACACTTTAGAGATGAAAAAATAAAATTACAACTCTTGGGGTACAAGTCCTGTCCAAGGGGATCACTGAGTTTTTAAAACAGATTTCCTAGCCTCTTACTCTTTTTACTTAGAATGAATTTCTCTAATACCAGATTATTCTAGAATAATCTTCCATACATATAGTTTCCATCTGTTATTTTTGCTGCCTAAGAACCTGTAAAAATATGCTCCAGCATTTCACTCCAAAACTTAATTCCACTCCTTGGAGTTTGTTCACCATTTCCTACATGTATGTTATCTAACCAGCTAAATTTTAAATTATTTGAAGACAAGGATCATGTCTTAGCAGGGTGTTGTGCACAGGAGGTGGACTCTACACACTTTTGAAATCAATATACACCTCTCTCTGGACATGCCCCGCCCCCCCAGCATCACTAATGCTCTTCTACGGAAGGTCTGTTTGTCACTGGTTGTAATTTCAAATTACACAGAGAGACAGTACAGAGTAATGGAAAAGAGCAGTGACTCTGGAGTCCAAGAATTTCTAACAACTCTTGGTTCAACACTAACCAGCTATATCCTCTTGGGAAAATTGCTTACACTGTCTATGTCTCAATTTCCCTCCTGTATAAAACGGGACAATGCAAGAGCACACATCACATTGGGTTCTTGTAATGATTCATATATCAATATATAGAGCTTGATCAATTTTGCATGTCTATATCTTGTAATCTAAGCAACTACTTTGAGATAGCAATATGCAATATAATAACTATTATTAATTTCTATCATCTTGTTTTGGAATTCTGCATTTTTTTCCCTCTCTCTTTAAAATATATAGAGCTTGGCACATAATACATGCCATATAGGTGTCAGCCACAAATAATAGTTGCATTTTCAGCTATACTTTTCTTTGGCTTAGTTAAAAGATATATCCATATAATAATTCAGATGTGAAAATATTTTTCTCTGCAATTAGTGCCGAGGAGTATTAACACTAAAGCAAATGATCATGTCTGTGCAGAAGTAAAAAGCTTCAATCCTAAAAACCGAGTTTATGTGAATGCTGTTTGTGAGTACTTGCCTTAATTTGCTGATTCCAATTGCTAATAACAAGACTTGCTGTCTTTTCAACTTCATTATCAAGCTATTAAAGAGAAAATGGAGAAAACATCATTCTTTCTTTTTGTTTAATCATTACTATAGACTAAATATTTGTTCCCCCTAAAATTCGTAGAAGGAAACGTATTCCCTCCAGGGGATGGTGTCTGAAGATGGAGACATAGGGGGTGATTGTGTCATGGGTGTAGAGCCCTCATGCATGCATTTACACTGTATAAACGAGGTCCTGAGTGCTCCATTGCCCCTTCTACCATGTGAGGACTGCTGAGAAGATTGCTGTCCACGCTGCAGGAAGAAAGCCCTTACCAGACATTGCATCTGCTGGCACCTAGATCTTGGACTTTCCAGTCTGCAGAATGATAAGAAATCAATTGCTGCTATTTCTAAGTTACCCAGTATATGCTATTCTATTGTAGCCACCTAAGCTGACAAAGATAGTCATGGTATTGGTTTTTTAATTCTAGTATAATCACTCTCACTATCTATTGCAGTTTGAAAATCCTACAGTAGACATTTCCTGAGTAAAGTAGCCAAACTGTCTTATCTCTGTGTCAAGTGTCTCTTGACAGGATTTGTCAAAACAACGTTTTCTGATCCATAAGAATGTGAAAAGCACACACATGCACGCAGCTGTGTGGAGGACACCCTCGTATAGCCTGCGTCCCTGTTGGTTCTATAACATCCACGTCAACATCAGTTCATGTGGCAAAAAGCCCACATCAGGATAACTGGTAAACAGTCCTTGAAGTACTTATTTTACTACATGGTTCCTTTGCTCACAGTGTGACTGTTTTAATTTCACAGAGATCAGATTATTAATCATAATTAATTCTCTTTTAAATGGACACTAACAATAATGATAGAAGTGGATATAGGCAACCATCCAGGGGGATCAAATACAAGTTAGCATAGAACCTTCTTTCTTGTTCCATAGATTCAATCGATCAGCCGTAATTCAGCTTGCCTAAGATCCAGCAAACAATATATTTTTGTTTTCCCCCATTGGTTATACGTGTAGGATGTAGTTTATTGTAACCAGTGCAATAAGAATAATTTTATGCACTATGCCATTTTTAACTCACTGAATGTGCCTGGAATCCAGAGCAAGTTCACTTCCAAAAATAAAAGTTAATCTCTTATCTATTGTGAGAGACTGGGGCGGGGACGTAAGGTGCATTACAGTGGCAAGGGCAGTGCTGAAAAGATTATAAACTGGAGCAGCAGTTTGAGGGGTCATGACATCAACTGTCTAAAGTGTGGAGATAAATTGCCGTGGATTGTGCCTAATTTATGGTAAATATGAAACAAAGATAGTTATCATATTATTACATGGTATGAAAAATATTTTGTAATTACTGAGATAGAGATTAATGCTTGGTTTTATTAAGCTAACCAGCAAAGGCAGATGATTATATTGCTTTCTAGCAATTTCTGGTTCCACCATCAGCCCAGGCTTAGGCAGAGCCTCCATCTGACACCAACTCTTCCTTCTGACTCAGTGTAATGGGTTTGAATTTTTAAGTGCCTTTATCATTTCTCTTGCATCAGAGCTTCTCAAATCCCTTTATCCTCCTGATGTAAACCGATCCTTAGGACCTGTTTCATCTGAAGCTGCCCTGGCACTGTCTCTGCTCTCCTGGGGGCCACCTCCCACCTGGGCCGGGCCCAGGATAGGCCGTGACCCTGACCCCACTTCTAGCAGAGCCCAGTGGCTTCCAGTGACAGCCGGTGACACTGTCTGGAGACTTGCTCCAAAGAGCCTAACAACCGTGTGCACAGTGAAACTGTTCTGAAAGGAGAGGCATTCAGGAAGGCTAAGGCATGTGTTCTAAGATGACCAGGCAGCTAGGGCTTCATTCATGTAGTTACATAATCCCAAGCTGGTACTCCTAGAAAAGTGTCTTTCACAAAAAAGCAGCTATCAGTTTTCTATTTACAAATGGAATCTTTAAAATTGATCATTAAATTACTGAAAAGTACATAAATAAAAATAGCCTTGTTCTATCACCTCAACATAATTTTTATTAACATTTGGGAAGGAGCCGGGAGTGGTGGCACCCTCCTGTAATACCAGCCCTTGGGAGGCTGAGGCAGGAGGATCGTTGCGAGTTCAAGGCCAGCCTGGGTTATAAAGTGAGCTCAAGGTCAGCCTGAACTGCATAGCGAGACCCTGTCTCAAAAAGACAAAAAAAAAAATTTTGGGAAGGATCTTCAAGTTTCTCTCTCTCTCTCTCTCTCTCTCTCTCTCTCTCTCTATATATATATATATATATATATATATTCTTAAAAATTGAGGTTATGTTGCTTCTTATATTTTAAAATCATACTTATTTAACTATATTATGGAAAAAAATCCCCATGCGGTAAAATTCTTCTATAAAAAGAGTTTTTGTTTTCATGGTACTGGACCAGCATGAGCCCAGGGCTTTGCATATGCTAAGCAAGGGCTCTACCACTGAGCTATATCTCCACGGCTTTTCTAATAAGATTTTTAATGGTTGTATAGTACTCTATTGCTTGACTTTGTTTTTGCTTATTTGTTTTACAGTACTAGAGATGGAAACTAGGGGCTTCACACTAAGTTAAACCCAGGTCCTTTTTAATTTTTTTTTTTTAAATCTTGAGACAGGGTCTTGCCAAGTCTCTAATTTGCCCAGCTGGGGATCAAACTTGTGATCCTCCTGCTTCAGCTTCCACAGTGTTGGTTCACAGGTATGCCCCACTATGCCCAGCTATCATCATTATTTTTGAATGATGATACAGTTGCCACTTTTTCACTCTTATAAACAATGTTCTAACAAACATTCTTGTACATAAATCATGGGTGTGTGTTTTGTTTATTTTTATGATAAATTCCTGAGACCTAACATCACTTTTAGGCCATCTTTTCCTCCATGGGCCACAGACAGAAATCTTGCTTTTAAGAAGGAAGGAAAGAAAAGCTTTGACTCACTGATTTTCTCTTCTTCTCCTGCACACTCAGGATTTGATGAGTTGGTTTTATTGCTTCCAACTCAATTGCTTTGCCAAGTTTTCTGGAAATAGAACATAAAGACAGACAGTCATTGTCTTAGGGTTTACATCCACTTTCCAAATTACTTTCTGGGGAGATGAAATGGTAGGTTACAGCCTATGCATTCAGCGCAAGTTGGAAGTGGAATATTTGTTCCCCACCCACTTTGGATATTTCCCACTCCCTGTGGGGTTGGAGCCAGGTCTGGGCGAGAGCCGGGGACACTCACTGATGCAGCTCCGCGGCGGATTTCATGCCCTCCGATGCCCACGCCCAGGCGCTGCTGAGACAGCTAGAGGCAAAAATAGCGGGGAACAAGGGTGGTGTCATTTTCCAGTGAACTCTGGGGAAAAAAGGTCTCATGCCTGATGCACTCAGTTCTCTAACCGGATTTCAGTTTCTCCGTGAGATGAAATCATGCCAATATATTTATTTGCTCTCTGGTCATTAGATACGCTGCCTTTCTTCCCCAGTCATTTCTCCTTTACATTTTCATCTCCCATCTCACATCTGTAGAAAATCAGGGAAATAGAGTCGCCAGGGAAGTGAACTGGTGGTGATAGGATAGTGGGTTAGCAGGCCCTCAAAGAAGTCTTCAGGTTCCTCAATTCAGAGATGAATAAATTGAGTCTTGACGAAGTTAAATGACAGAGGCCTCAAATCCCTGCTAGCATCCTGCCTACTGCTCTTGGAGTCGGGATTCATCTCCTGCTCCCTGCTGGCTTACCTGAGAAGACCTTCTAATGCCGGGGGCCTACCCCACAATCACAGAGGGTACCACACTGACCCTGGAGGGACAGAGGAAGGGTCAGAAAGGGCAATGTCATACTCTCCCACATGAGGGGAGAATGCAAACAGGACAAGGAATCTTCGGGTGAGATGCACATGTCTGTTCGGACTTTGGTGGTGGTTACATGGGCTACAGATCCATAAATACTGACCAAACCACATGCTTAACATGGGTGCTTATTATCAGATGCGAATAAAGTCGTCCTGTAAAAAAGCATGTCAGCACATTGTGGGGGAGAGCATCTTCCATGCGCTTCTCAGAGCAGCTTGGCAGCAGGGCCGGAAAGGCAGCATGCCAGCCTCTGAAGGGCCAGGGGCCTCCTGTTTTTCCTGTGTGATGTAGGAAGAATCACTCAGCTTCTCTGAGCTTCACTTAACTGATCTTTTAACATAAAAATGCCCTGGGATATCTGTGCAAGTCCCCAACACGGATTTGGGTATGGAGAAACACCCAGTGAATGCTCATCATTAAATATTGGCTAATGCTGCCCCACAGAACGTCCCAGACATGCCAGCTCTTTGGTAGTACTGTGCTGGGTGCTGGGGTCCTGACGCAGCAAGACACACACCACTCCACCTTGCTACCTCTTATTCTGTAGGAGGAAAAGAAGCAATCGAGTCAAAGCCAGTGTGAGCATTCATGGCACTTTTGCTCCATGTGAGCTACGTGTCTTGGTTACTTTTCTCTCGTTGCTGAGACAAAATACCCAACGCCCAAAATGAAGGAAGGAAAGGTTTATTTAGCTTACAGTTTGTGGAGGTTTCAGTCCATACTTGGCTGGCTTGGAGGCAGAAGATAGCAAAGCAACAAGAGCAAAGGGGGAATGGCAGCCGAACAGCAAACAGCCAGAGCAAACCGGAGGAATGGCGGCAAGCAGCTTCTTTCCCTGCCTTACTTACTTTGTAAACAGGCTACCCCCACCTAAGGGGCTTGTAGCTCTCACATAGTCTCCATGCCCTCCTCTTCCACAGGCTCAGGATGTATACAAAGTAAGCACCCTGGCTTCCTGCTGAGTCACTTAGCCAAACCTCTAGACTCCCCAAGTTGACACAATGTATCAACCATAACACTACGCCACCAAGTACACTTGGATTATCTCACTGAATCTTCCTGGCAACCATAGGAGATAGGTTTTATTTCCATTTTAAAGAGATATTGAAAGGAAAGATCAGTTGTCCTATGTCACACAGCCAGTAAGTGGTAAAGCTTGAATTTAAACCTGGCAAGTCTAAACAAAAGTCTATCTAAACTCAACCGTGTATGTGCTGCACTGCCTTTTGTAGTCTACCAAAAGTCTGTCCTAAAAATAAAAACAGAGCTAAAAGTCAGAGCGATTTTAAAGCCATCATTTGCTGTTACAGGTGACATCTAAGCAGGTGTTGGGATCTGGGCTCCAGAACACTCCCCCTACCTGTCAGCGTCGTAAAAAGCCTCTGTCAGAGCGCTGCTAGTTTGGGGTCACGTCTGCACGCATTAGTACGGAAGCTTCATAGCAAATTATCACCAGTAAATGCTTTTAGAATACCTACATCTTTCTTCTCTCCTGCGAGGAGGAAATCTACTTCATTCTTATTGCTGCTAAATACTGAGAATGTGAACCAACATTTTTTTGCACCCAGTGTGCTAAACTCTTTACACACATTATCTCATTTAATATGCACTGCTCATTCGTTAATCCTTTCATTCTTTCTCTCTTTCTCTCTCTCTCACACACACACATGCACATGTACACTCATGCACACACACACACATGCATGCACACGCACATGTACACTCGTGCACAATGGAACACGTATCATTATTCCATCTAACGGAGGACGAACTCAAGCAGAGAGGCCAAATTACTTGTCAAATGTCACACAGTAGAGATAACACAGGACTCAGACTTCCTGACTCTGACCTTCTGACTTAACACCACCACTTTCCAAGTTAAATGTCATCACGAAGCCAATTATAAAAGAGGGCTTAGGGGTTAGAAGGACCCAGGGTGAATCCAGCTCTGTCACTCATTGCCTGCATGATTGGGAGTGTTTGCTATTCTCCAAACCTCAGTCCCTAGCTGTAAAGAAGGATGATAATCAGACCTCTCAGGGGTTGGTGGGAGGACTGAAGCAGAGGATCCGCAAAGCGTGTACCCACAGCACCCGGCCCTCAGCAAGTGCCTGGTAGCTCTGTTTGGTAACTGCCACACTTCTAAGAGGAGGCTGGAATGGACTGTACATCCGTTTTGACTATTTTTAAGAATAATTTCACCTTGCTTCTGCCATGATACTTACTTTTTCTTGGTGCCCTGCAGCACTTTGTTCAACTTGGTGGCCAGTTTCTGAAGTCCTTTGGCGTAGCTGATTTCCAGGTTTGCCCTGTTAGCAAAGGTCTAATTGTTAAATAGGATGTAGAGGATATGCTGGTCACAAATCAGCGGGCACACCACACACACATACACACACACACACATGGACTGAGAATGAGATGCCTACCTAAAGGAGAGATCATTTCTTTACTATAAGAATGTACTTGTCCAAAGGCAAAGCTTTGAGAGTATCAAAGATCCTACAAAGGAGAACATTTTATGAAACCTTCTTTCACACTAGTGTTACAGGTTGAATTTTGTCTCTCAAAAAGATCCCCTCACCCTCAGTGCCTGGGAATGTGACCTTATTTGAAATAGGGTCTTTGCAGGTGATGATCAGATTATGATGAAGTCATTAGGGTAGGACTGGAGCCAACGCCAATGTCCTTATAAAAGGGGGCAATTTGGACACAGAGACAGACATGCATACGGGAGATGCCACGTGAAAATGAAGACAGAGATCCGGGTGATGTTTCTACAAGCCAGAGTGCAGAAGGCAGCAGCAAACTACGGGATGCTGAGAGAGCCCCAGGAATCACAGTCCCCAGAAGGAGCCAAGCAGGTGGATACCTGGACCTCCAGAACTGTGAGACCACACATTTTTGGTGTTCAGGTCACCCAGTCTGGGGTACCTTGCTATGATGGCAACGCTTGAAAACTAATGCAACTGGTAAGGAACAGAACTGGCACTAATCAGGTTCGCTCTTGATCGTAATAACTGACAATTAAATGATAATTTAGGATTAAATTAACCAAGTAGTGGCTTTCTTTGCTTTTTGTTTGTTTGCTTTGTTTATTTTATTTGCTTGTGTTTATGGTGCTGGGACTGAACCCGGGGCCTCCTACATGCTGGGCAGTATGTTAGCTTTGAGCTACAGTCCTAGACCAGCGGGAGCTTTCTAATGGGAAGTCGGGGAGGTGGCCAACATCAGATTTTAAAAACGGACTTGCACTGCTTTCTGTGCAGGATGACACGTAGCAGGAAGTCTGGGCATGCCCTCCTTGGCTCTTTGGAGGCTGAATCACTTTCTTCTTAAAATGATTTTACTGTGTCCTATTTTTAGGTTCGTTTGTAGCTCCAATGAGAACACATTCTATCTCACTTTTGGCTGTAGATAGTGAAAATGTAGGAAATTAAATTCAACGTATATTTCCCTTCTTATATGGACCATAAGAGGGGTGGTTGCTTATTTTTCACTACTTTAGTTTTATGTTTATTAAGTCTTTAAAATTATTTCTGACTTCATTTCTTCTGGGAAACAATCCCTGGACTCTTCAGTAAGTAACCTAGTACCCGCATGTTCTCACAAATTGGATCCGGTGTTATAGACCCAGTAAAGGCAGATGGCTCTTTCATAAATGATCAGAAGACATCGATCAATTTTTTTATCTATTCATTTTTCCCTGTTAGTGCAGCTGTGCCTTCAGATATTTTTATCACATTTTTAAAAGAAAGTAGATCACCGCAGGATGTATGTTAAGGTGTAGGTGCAGAAAATACTCACTTGGTATCAGGACTTAACCCAAGTACAAGGCAAGGTTAAGGTGACTGTTTTAAAAATATCTCCTGTGCACGAAAATAGATTTCTTTGTTGCAGGAATATGCACCATTTGAGGAAGAGAGAAAGACGCTGGTCAGTAGCAGGGTGGAAGAGGCCACCACCCTTGATGAACACAGGTGCTCTAGAATCCCGTGAGAGCCCTACTCAGCGAGGTGGCTTCAAGCAATGTTGAAAAGGAGCACCTGGGCCTACTTCTAGGTGTTTATGGGGCTTAAAATGTGGTCATAACCCACACCTAGTAGGAGCTCAGTGACAGGAACAGTTGCTACTGCCCTGCAAGGCTCTGTGTCATGGGAACCCCTCCTCTCTTCCTGGTTTCTCCTCCTTACTCACTCACTCCTTTGCTTATCCTGTGCTTGCTCAGTGGCCAACTGCCAGCCTGCCTCAGGGCCTTTGCACTTGCTGTGGCTGCTGCTGAGCACTCTCTGCTATGTAATCACGTGGTATTCTCCTTGCTATGATTTCTGGCACATCTCATTTAAATGTCATCTCCTCAGAGGCCAGGATTTCTAAAAGAAGAACCTGTCACTATTCCCTTACAGATTTACTTGTAGCCAGGCACTTATCACTACCTTACATCACATAGGTTGTTTTCTTCAGTAAACCTCTGTGAAAGTCCATAGAATGTTTTGTTCATTGCTGAATTCCTAGGCCAAGAATGGTACTAGGTGCATCATAGCTACTTGGTAGGAATGAATGACTGAATGAATTAATGAGAGAATGAATTTCATACCAGGCCTGGATTAGAATTCTTATTGTTCTCTTTTTGCTTGCTTTGCAGTGCTGGAGCTTGTGCATGCTAGATAATCACTCTACCACTAAACCACACCTCTAGCTCTTTTTAAGTTTTATTTCGAGACTGTTGTAAGGGTTTTTGATGTATTTCCTTCCTGAATCATGAGAGCCCCTGTAAGGTAGGCACAGTTTCTTCTGCCCATTTTATGCACAGGCCATCAAGGTGCAGGCAGTTTAGGCAGTCACTCTCCTGAGAACACACAAGAGGAGGCGACAGTGCTGGGATTTGAACCCGGGCAGTGTGACTGCCTCTTAACTCCTTAGTTCTTCTGCCTCTGTAGTTGTGGAAATGAGGCTGCAGATGGGGAATTGCAGGGCAAAGTCAAAGCAAAGGGCTTTGTAAAACTGACACTACCTCTCCCTTTGCCCTTTGACTGTAACTCTCTGAATCATTGCGGCTCCTGATGGCTCAGCAGCCAGGGGCCCAGCCCACAAGTGCCTCAGTGCAGGCACCAGAAGCTCCCAGCGCCTCTTCCCAAAGCATCCACTGGGGGACACTGTGGGGTGAGGAGTAGGGGTTTGGCAAAGGGAAAAGGGAGGAGACTCCTCAAATATCATCAGCCTAGACCTTTGACACTGGGCTGAGTTGGACCCAGCTCTTCTGTGCAGCAGAGTTTTGCCCTTTGTCTCTCCACCAGCAATTTATTGATGATGCCAAAGGGTTTTAGAGTCCACATTTGCATCTGTTTCCAAGACTGAGCTATTACACACTGTGTTGCTGTAAACATGGGAGTGCATATGTCACTGAATCAACCAAACAGAGCAGGCTGCAGCCGTCTGCTCTTGCACTTGAAGCCCTAATGAATATTTGGAGAACTCACTGCAAGTCTGAAGGAACTGAAATGAAATGCTGTGAGGAGGGATGTGGGATCTACTCTCCCCGGTGTCTGTCCCTCAGTGGTTTTTATCTTAACAGATATTCATGGTTGCATTCCAACCTAGAGAGAAATCACCCTTCTAGGAAGCCACAGGCCAGGTGGCAAGTGCAGGGAGAGCTGTCATTTTTCTAAGTTGGAATGCTTATCAATGGAAACAAACACTGCCTTAATGCTCTTCTGTGCTGTGGTCTAATGAAGCAGTCTATATATGTCTCCCTTCAGGATGTCTGCTGAATAGAAATAAACGACCTTGGTGTTTTCCTGAGGCAGAGGCAGCAATGCACATTTATAATGAGATTGCTTTCTTCCCAGTCCCTTGCGGGGAGCTACTTTATCATGGTTTCTAGCCAAAAGGTATCACATGCAAAAAGGAATCCAGAAGGGCAGAGCTAATCTCAAATACAGACATGGATTTTCTTTCCTTCATTAAAATAATCAGGAACGAGCTTAGAATTACACTGTGCTTAATTATCTAGTGCATTCCCATCCCCCCTCCCATCCTACAGCCGCCATTTCCGCCATGAGTGAAGATGGTGTCTCTAAGCCAAGGTCTTGGTATATAGGATGTCTATCCCTTTTGGTGAGTAACCCTAGCTCACAACAGCCCAGCCAGTTTGTAAGATTTAGAACCAGGGAAATGACATGCACGGATTTTTAATTCACTTATATTCTAATTTCCTCTCAGTGTGCAAGACAGGTCAATATATTTTCATTAGGAATAATGAAGACCAACCAATAACTCATGTACCAATATTTGACTTGATTTTTAAAAAATTTTTGACTTGATTTTAAAACAGACTGCACTTTTGAAAGAAGGAAGGCACAGAAAATACATGGCTTCAGATTAAATATTTTAGATACAGCACAATTTAAATTGTAAGAATAATCAGCAACTATGTAATCAATTTTAGAGGATCGCATGCTAACAAAAGTAAGTAGATTAAAAAGTAGTTTGAAAAACTCTGGGGCTGGGGATTTAGCTCAGTGGCACAGCACCTGCCTGGCAAGCGCGAGGTCATGAGTTCGATTCCCGGTACTGGAAAAAACTAAAAAAACTTAAAAAAAAAAAAAAAAAGAAAAACTCTGTAGTTTCCCCTTGGTCTATGAGGACTAATTAAAGTTGAGCTAAGCCTCTCTCATAGTTGACAAAAGCAGGGAACAGAACCTTCCTTTTTTACGAATTAAGAAGGAATTTCAATAATCTCAAATTCCTCAATTATGTTAGCAGGCTTGTCTTTCATCTCCTACTATGCCTCAAGGACAGCTCCTCCTTTGGGCCTGGGTAGGTTGATAACTCCCATTCTAGCCTTATCAGTTTGCCTTTTGAAAGATAGCCATGAACTCATCTTACAAATTGGTTGTACTTAAAAGTTTACTAGAGATCGCGGGTGGGGGGGGTGGGGGGGTGCAGTACAAGGAGGTTGGGGAGAGGTCGGTCAGCGAGTCCACAGTTACAAGAAGGCAGGAGTGGAGTGTACTCTTGCACAGCAGGGTGACTATAGTTAATAATAACACGCTGTATATTCCAAAGTAGATAAAAGGGAGGCTGTCAAATATTCTCACCCCAGAGATACAATAAATGTACAAAGAAACAGTGTGCTAATCACTCTGGTTGTTCACTCCATAGTGTGTATATGTATCAAATCATCACACTATACCTTGTAAATATGCACAATTACCATATGTCAACTAAAAATTAACAAATCTGGCTGAGGGTGTAGCGTAATGGTACAGTGCTTTCTCAGCCTGTGTAAGGCTACTCCTGGTTTAATCCCCAGCACCATGAAAGTAAATAAATAAAACACAGACAGATTACTGGCAATTTGAATCAAAGCTCTGCAATTCAAGTGGTGGGTTCTTTAGTTGGTCTATCTTATCATTTTGAGTGCCTTAATTCTGGTTCTTGCGAATAGTGTAGAAGAAAGTAAAATGGGAGGAAGAGACCTGGACAGTATCCTTCTTGACATGTAATCTGAGAGCCGTCCTCGAGTCAGGGCTCACACTGTTCCTGGGGAGAGGTGAGCTCTGCCTGCTTCTCCCCACTGCTTGTGGTCACAGGGGCACAGGGTGGGGAGGGAGCACTGCGGCCGGGAGGCTGGGAAGTCAGGCTATGAGTGTTCAAAGCTTTTTAGCTGGAAACCAGAATTCTATACTAAATCCAACCATGTTATGCACATACAAATACAGTTACTCTGAGTAACTCTGAAGGGAGAGCTTCCACTCATCGTCCTGCTCACCCAACCCTGAAGCAGCCACTGAGGAGCGTTCCTCACTGACCTCTTGAGCTGTAGGCTTTGAAAATCACTGTGATTGATGGCCACCGATGTTCCTTGATGGTCACAGAGGTCCCAATGTGTCTGTGAAGGGGACTGGACCAGGCTCTGCTGACCACTTAAGGAGGCCTTTGCGCTGTGCTGGGGGTAGGCTGGGGGAGAATCACAGCATAATCTTTCCCATGTTCCTATTTGCACATCAGGGGTGGAGAAAGGTGTATGCCTGGCACTGGGTGGTAGGAATTAAAGCAACCAAGTGTAAGACACATCAACACAATGTCTGGACTATAAATTGTACTGGATAAATGGTCTCTTCTGTGATTTTATTTTTTCTTGTGTTTATTCAAAATCATAGGCTACATATAGTACTTTATTGGTAAATGTCTTTGACTTTTCCATTTACTGATCCTTAGGCATCACCTAACTTGAACTTCTTATGAAGGTTATAAAGGCCTGCATGCACAGAAAAGCCCAGACATTAATACGTTCATCCGAATGCCTGCCTCTGCCAGCCCTTGCTATTCACGTGGGACACAAAGACCTTCAGGGAGTTGAGGAGAAAAGCAAGGGAACAGAGAGTAATTGTAGGGCAGTAAGACCTACAGCAAAGGCAAATGCAAACTGCACATATAGTACTGGGGGCACTTTTTTGAGACGGAGAACTGGAGTCAAAGCAGGCCTTCCTGCTTCTTTTCTTTTGGACATGGTGGGACACTCCTGTAATCCCAACTACTCAGGAGGCTAAAGCAAGGGGATCACAAATTTGAGGCCAACCTGGGCAACCTAGCAAGACTTTATATCAAAATAAAAATTAAAAAAGAGCTAGGGGAGTAGCTCAGTGGTAAAATGCTTGCCTAGCGATATGAGGTCCTGGGTTCAATTTCTAGTACCGCAATCACACACACAAAAAGATTTTATTTTGATTTCTTATCCTTTATTGACAATGTCTACAATGGATCATGGTTGCAGCAAATGGTCACCTACACCTCCTTATTCTTTTTTTAAAATATCCACAAGAGTGGTTCTTGCCATTTAAAACCCTGGTCTTAAGCTTCCTTTCAGAAGAACAATTGATTTTCCCATCAAAAGCCCATTTCGGTATTAGCTATGAGGGAGCAGGAAGCCAAACTCTCATAAATGGTTTCTGGGAATGTGCCTTTGTCTCCTTAAATCTGATCTGTCACTGTGTGCCCATAAACCTGCGGACTCCAACACAAGGAACTGTAGGAACCACTGCGCTCTCCTGGCCAAGTCTGCATTTGCAAAAAAGGGAAACTGGAGTGACTAATTGGAAAAAGAAGCTAAGCATAATGCTGGGTTGTAGAATATCCAGGCAAAATGGTGCTTCAGTAACAACTGTACTGTTGTCTGAACTCCACTTATAAGGAACGCAAGAGACAGCTCAGCTGGGAAAGGAAACAGTATCTGGTCTTGCTTCTCCGTGCTAATGCAGAACTGTGGAGTGGAACTACATTCCAACAGACTGATAGGAAAGATATCTGAACAGAAACCTCCAAGGACGCTGAAGGCCGCGTTCTAATAGTGCAGGTATAGTGATAATATAAGAACCTCTCAATGGTTTTTTATATATCCGTTCATTCAATCTATAAATAAGTACTAAATGCATTGTACGTGGCAGGCGCTTCTAATTCAAAGAAGCCCCATAAGCTTCTTCATTCTGTTTTCCACTTGTTGCCACTGGACTCGCCTTCATGATTTTTCATGTCACAATCCACAAAGGAAATGTCTCCTGTATGTCTTCTAAGAGTTCCATTTTACTTGTCTCATGGGGTTTCCCATGATTTCCGTATAATCTGAGTAACAAGGTAGTTTCTTGTAAGGTGTACTGGTTTCCACATACTTATCTAATACAAGAATAAGGGGTCATTGATTTATATATAATAAACCCATATATTTAAGGGAAAAATAAGCTCTGAGCTCATTTCTGGAGAGCTGGAAAGAACCAGCCTTTTATGTATGACTAGGAAAGTAACCTCTGAATTCAAAGAATAGGAAGAGCAAAGGTGACTATCACATCAGCCACAATGTTACCAGTTATCCCTGTTGATTGAGTTACTATGTTGAGTCACTGACCTCAAAATTACATCACCCCTGTGGGAGAGAAATGACCTGATCCTGGGAAGTGAAGCAGCTCTGACTTTGCCTCCTGATGTACAAGAATGCAGCTGAAAATACGTAATATGCTACATACTCAGAGATTAATGGGGCATTTATGTCCTTTAGAAAACAGTTCTACCTAAATACCACCCCTTCAAATGTGAACAAATATCCCTCAGGTTAACTACATAATCAAACAGCTGAGCAAGGAGAGGACCCCTGGCAGCTCAAGTGTTAGGGGACATTGCATATGCAAATCTACCAGGTATCAATCTAAAGTACCCCAAGAGTGGCATCTTGGTTGAGGGGAAATGATGTATTAGTACCAAGCTTGCTTTACAAAAATGTTCAGGAAAACATCTATCACACAAGTAACCTAGTATCTAGCATCATTTTTTTAGTGTAGGTAAAACCATATAGATTCTTTGCATCTATACTACGCGGGTTTTATTTAGATATGTGCTTGTAATTTCACTAACCAGAGGGGCTGGGGATTTAGCTCAGCAGCAAAAGCGCCTGCCTGGCAAGCGCAAGGTCATGAGTTCAGTTCCCGGTACCAGAGAAAAACCAAAAAAAAAAAAAAAAAAAAAAAAAAATTCACTAACCAGTTGCACCCTAGATTTTCAAATTCTAAATTCTGCTCCATAAGGAAGTAAAATAATATGTTCAGCTACCCACTTGTTTCTCCCTCACTGGGCATGTTTGCTCCCCTACCATGTGTCGGTGGCAGGTTTCACACAAAAATAGGTCCAGGGCAGATGGAGACCCTAGAAAGTGAGTTGAGGAGAGGCACAGTAAGAAACAAAGGCCCTGACTGCATGAAGGAAGTAGATGTGTCAGCAGGGTGAGCACAAGGAGTGATCTGCTTAAGGCAAAAACAAAAAGGTAGCTTTCAACCAGTGACCACTCCCCATCCTTTCTGTCTGCGGTTGAGTCTGTTTAGCATGGACATTATTTATCCCCTACCTTCTGTCTTCACAGCTCTCTATGGGGCACTGATTTTGAGATTTGGACACCAAATAATGAAGACCAGATGACTGGAACCCTGATCACATGCTCATGTAGGCACGATTCTTCCTCACCTGCAGGAGGGAGATGCTGTCTAATTTACGTAATGGATTAAAGTTGTATAATAGTGAACTGGTCCTATTTTAAATAATTTCCTTTGAGACAGACTTTAAAATATTTTCTATAGGAAAAGAAAATACCTTTCCAAATGGATTCTCCACTTTTTCAGGGAATTGAAATGGTTTGAATTGTTAGCATGAGTTAAAAGTTTTTTCTTTTGGGCTCCATTTCACAAACCTGTGTTTTTCTTCCTGAAAGCCTATTTCAACTCTCCCTTCCTTTCTTTGGCCTCATTCACTGATCCTGATAGAACCGTGTTCTCCTTTGTTCTTAACCTACTTATGCGGAATGCCATGGACTCATGACATCGTTTCTTCTTATGGCATGTACGTGATTTTTTTTTTTTTTTTTTGGTTTTTCTCCGGTACCGGGAACCGAACTTACGACCTTGCGCTTGCCAGGCAGGCGCTTTTGCTGCTGAGCTAAATCCCCAGCCCCTGTACGTGATATTTTAAATTTGGAATAGTTTGCTTTAAAAGAACAATTTCTTTTGAAAGCGATCTTTAGATTTGTTTATAATAGAGCTGTCTAGACGTAGGGAAAAGGCTTAAAAGAGCCCTATGAGCCAGCTCACTCCTCCTCAGGTTCTCTAATTTGGATTTTGTTGTTATTACTTTCTTGATGGAGTTAAACATGTTCATTTCAGCCCAGCGAACAGCGCTCACACTTATGGTTAAGAGAAGATGGTACTGAAAATAGTGATTTTTCATTGTTCATCCAGCCATCCACTCATCAGCCATTTACCAAGGAAGCAAAAAACTAGGCTCCAAGAGCTTAGTCATTATAGTAGTAACGAAGACACAGCCTTTGCCCTTGCAGGGGAAGCAAAAATGCAAACCAATACCATGAAAAGTGCAATAATGAGTGTATACATCAGATATGACAGGGAGCCCCAGGAGATGTGCTAAATTCGGTCTGAAGAGTCAGAAGAGACTTGACTCAACCTTCCTAAGCAGAATTCCTTCCTGTTGTTCTGTAATTTTTATGGTAGCCACGTGATAAATGTGCAATAGAGAATCATTCATCAAACCAGTCTCACACGTACCAGAGCATAGCACTGTTCTGGAAAGCAGGCTCCCAATCACTCCTCCAGGCATGTCACATCGCTGGCTACAAATGCAGAGCAAGAACTGTTTGTTGCAAACATGTATTTTGTACCTTTGCTGAAGAACAGATGTGATCTGCTTACAGAAATTCTCTCCATTTTGAGAAAGTTCCTTGAGGCTCTTGTACGCCTTGTTGTACTGGAGGGGAAAAGAAAAGACGAACAAGAGGTCATGAGTGCTTCCAAGGACAGAGCCCCATAAATTCAAAGTGCCACTGTGACGATGACTGCCACCGTCAGTGACTGCGCAGCTGCAGGGATGCATGACTCTTGGATGAGTTCTTAAAGATTAAGTCTTCCCTGTCTGAGTTTGAAACATCCTGGAGAATTCATTAAAAACAAAGTTGATCCAATTTTCTTCTAGGCCAAATGCGAACAACTCACCAGCCGGTTGTATTGGAGCCTAGTTTCCTGTCATCTTTATCATTCCCAGGAAGGCCTAAGTACATTCTAAAGGACACAACCTAACATTTCGTTTCCCCGACCCCTACCCTGGCTCTGCAGCAATATTCTTGTATTTATAATGAACCATGAATCATTGAAGAAGGACTTAGCTGGAAAGGTGGTGCAAGCCCATAATTTCTGCACTCTGGGAGGTAAGGTTGAGTCAGTCTGGACAATATAGCAGTTGAGTGGAAACTTGCCTCAAAATTAAAACTACATAAAGGGCTGGGGAGGTATTCAGTGGGGAGGCCCTGCATTAAATCCCCAGTACCACAATAAGCAAACAAACAAATTTTTAAAATAAAGTGAGCATTTTGGGCTAAGATACAAAGAATTAAATGAATAATTTATTGAAATTTTGTCCTAGTTTCTCTGGGTCTCATTTAACTCCCATAATAATATTAGTATGAACATTTTGGTTCGACCAAACCTTTATAAATGTATAAGTAGTCTTGTGTTCGCAACCATGCTGCAATGCATGTCTGGAGAATTGGGTGCTGGGTCAGTTACGCTGCATCCTCCCCTCCCCAAATTAATGGAGGTGTTTGGAGCTTGCAAGAGAGGCAAAAATGTAGTTAACTATGCCTGAAGTGCCTCACTAAAAAGCAGACTAACTAAAGAGATTTCCATTCTAGCAACAAAGTCTTCTCAGTATAACTGACCCTTAAGCCTGCACATTAACAAAATAAAATAAAATAAAAGCATGAGAAAACATGGCAGCAGAATGTCTCCGAAAATCCCCCAATTCCCCCAAAGAGCTGACCTGTGGGAACCTGATGGGTGGAAATCAAAATCCAAACAGCTGAAAAAAACTTATAAGTAAAGCTTCAGAAATTCATTCATATGTGAATTTAGCCTGCAGACAAAAGAATTTAAACAGATCTTGTCATTTGATTTAAACCCCACAATGTCATTCTGAACAATATATTTGTAAATACAGACATTGATGGCAGTAGATTTTAAGAGCCCAAATAGAGACGGCAAATGTCAGTTGACTCTGCAGTTTATTCAGACACAGAGCAGGTAAATTTGGTCACAGAACCTCCCAAACACACACTCCTATCGTTTTCACCTGGGAAGTGCAACAGCAGACCATTTTTCAAAATGAGATTTTTCCAGAAGAGGCCCCCGTTCTGTGGTTTGAGGGTCGTGCTATGGGCTCTTTGCTCATATAACGTGCCAACTTCTTCCAGGGCCCAGACATCTTGCTACTTAGTGCAGCACCATGCTGCACAGGGAAAGGGAAGGAAAGTGGCATTCCTGAGCTCCTCTTAGGCAGCAGGCATAGTCATACGAGCAAACACCCTCAAACCCAGAAGCCTTCCACCTAGCATACAGGATCAGACAGAAGACGTGGGTCTGGAGAAGAGGAAGGACCTCAAGAGGTGGCCTGGTCTGGGTCCCCACCACTGGGGATGGAACAAACTAATAACAGTCTCACAGACGCTAAACCCTTTTATGAGTTGAACTTTCTTCTAAACTTAATACAGAAAGCTGTGATAGATTTGGCAGACGTGCACTACAGGTTGAGAATCCCTATCCTGAAATCTGAAATCCGAAACATTTAAAATTCCAAAATTTTTTGAGGACTGACCCGATGCCACAAATAGCAGATTCCATGTGTACCCTGATGTGATGTGTCTCAGTCAAAACAATGCAGTAAAAATATTGTCTAAAACTAGCTTCGGGCTGTGTGTACAACGTATGTATAAAACATGATGAATTTTCTGTATAGACTTGGGTTCCGTTCCCAAGATATCACATTATGCATATTCAGATATACCAAAATCTGAAACAACTTCAACTTCTAAATACTTCTGGCCTCATATTTTGGATAGGAAATATGTAACATATAGTAGAAGAGATCTTCACTGAAACTGCCTGGGACACAAGAGAGGTGATGGTGCAAAAACTTTCACAAAGAATTTGTTAACTCCTAAAGCAGCATTTGCAAAATCAAGCCTCAAGAAGACAAACTGGAGACACAGCCTGGAGGGACGTGACGTCTTTATGGGGAGAGCAAGGCGAGGAGCCTCCACACCAGGAGAACCTAGTGTGGAAGGAAGGACTCTGAGAATAACCATCCGAAGGAAAGTCCCCACCCACCTGCCACCATCTGCGCATAGCTTGATGCAGGCACAGCAGCCCTGGGGAGAGAAGGGGGCCTTGGAGGGCAGTATGTGGATACGGGCATGTAGGAAAGACCTTGCCTACTTCTAAAGTACAAATGGATACAGACAGTTCAGAATTTTTCCAAGATAGGCTGCAGGGGCTCCTGTATGTGCCAAATTTATCGATCCATCCAAACTCCTGAAGACACAGGTCCTATACTGTCTCCAAGGGACTAGTGTTAGCATGCCAGACCAACCAGAATGCTTACAAGTCAGTGATTGAAAACTCAGTTGCCTTTGGCACAGCGGAGGAGCCTATGGCAAAGCGAAGAGTCCCTGTCTCCCCAAAGGCATTCAAGCTCCACTTCTCAAGGAAAGAGGCTGCTGAAAGCATCCTTTATAGCTTCCACCTATAACCCACCTGTTCCAGAACTCCTGGTGCCCAGGCACACAAAAACCAGGAAGTTTTCAATGCATGATGTTGTTATTAATTCTATGATCAGATAAGAGAGGGCTATTCTGCTTGTAAAAGCAACAGAGAAAATGTTTCGCTTTGACCCTAGGTACAATGTTCCAGGAAGTCCCCAGAAAAACTTGATCAAGGTTGAGATAAGGGTGGCATCAATAAATGAAAGAGTTGCTAAGAATATTTCCAGTATCTGAGCATAATTACTTCTTTAGGGTCAATGGTTCTAGACCTTTTATAGTGTACCATCTACTCAGGCTTGACAAAAGAAACCGTGAAAAGCAGACCTGCATAAATGCCAACGCAGCCACAGAGACTATCTTGCCTTGTGTGTGTGTTCTATGTGTGTGTACACATGTATGCCTGTGTGTGTGTGTGCAGATGTGTATGCATCTGTGTGTGATCAGAAAACCGTGGACCCTGTCTGCTTGGAGGGCATGAAGTATCTTGACTTTGGCTGCCCTGTTCCCACATCACCTGTCCTTTTCTCTCCACACCGATCCACCAGACCTACCTGCTGAAGGGGTTCTGTGGAGCGCAATTTGGGAATAACTAAAATTCAGTCTACTGGGCCCAAAGAGTTGATGAAAGCCCCATTACATAGGGACAGAAATGTGAGTAGAAATGTAGGTAACCAAATCAATTAGAGAACCTATCAGAAGTAAATACTTTTATGAATGGCTAATCAGTATAATCACACTAGTTTAACTCAGAGTGCTGATAACCTGTTATGAGCAAAACAGATGTAGCTGCTCTACCTCCTCTTACTCCTCCTCTTCTCCTTCTCCTTTCCCTTCTTCTTTTTTAAAATTCTTTCTTTTTCTCTTTTTGGTGTTTTGAGATTGAATCTTACTATGGTGTTCTTTTCCGACACTTTTAAATATCTCATCCCCTACCAAATATTGCAGGGAAAAGAGCTAATTGATTTTAGCTTTATTGATTTTACATCTCCATAAGAATTTATATAAGCATACTGCACCCTTCCAGGACCACTAGTTACCAAGAAAAAATGTGATGAGTTTTTTTTCCCTCACACAGGAAAATTTCAGGCTTGTGGTAGATTTGGTGGGACTTTGCACAGCCCCTTAGAGATTCCTTCACATAGACCACTGAGCTACACAGACATTTCCTGACTAGCTATTAGGAAAATGCTTTTGCCCAGTACTTGTAAGCAAATTCTGTCCTATAGATACTGTCATGACAAAAAAGTAATCTAGGCAATGAACACACAAAATGACTAAGCAGACAACTTCTAAACAGGCTTGCTGCTCTTTCTGGTGTTCCAAAGTTTTAATGATCAAGAAGGTTAAATCCAGTTGTTTCAGAAAAATCTTTTTTTTTTTCTAACTGCTAGGATGCTGTATGGAAACGGTTTGGGATAATGGTGACCCTTAGAGTGTTAGATAAGGTATGATATCCCACTTAAATTAAGTTGTTGCTGGATGCCTTTCCTGTGGCAGACACAATGCTACTGATTTCATGTGAATTCTGATTCATAGGAGGTGGTATTTGAAGGCATCATTCCTCTAAGTAAGGGGTTAGCTGTATTTATTTGTCATCAGTGTGACATTTGAAATCCCCATGGCAGGCAGTCATAGATTATGAGCTGCGTAACATTAAAGAACATAGTCAACTGCAGTCTCTCTTCCTCTCAGTTTATAGATGAGAAAACAAAGGTCTAATGGACAGCACATTACACATATTATTTGTCCACCCTGGGAATGCTGTGAGCCACACAACAGCCACGCCAGACTGAACCTGCTTTCTCCATCTCTGCAGTGGACCAGAATCCTTTGGGAGCCGTGGACCATTGCATGGCATCTTCTGAGCTGGTACCAGTCACATTTGGTGACCAGGCTGAAATGCCAAGATGGGAAGCCAGTTTGTTCTGAACCAGGTCACAACCTGAGGAGCAGCCTAGTGACGTTTCCAGACACGATGCTAGGGGAGAAGGACTGACTGTGTGGAGACCAGAGGCTTCCTTTGACAGGTCCCCACCTGGTTACTGAAAGAATATAAGAAGATAAGAACTTGGTCACTGCTCCTTACTCACCACTGGTTTTTATGGTGGTGCTTCATGGGTAAGTGTGTCTCTTCTATTTTTTTTTCTTTTCTTTTCTTTTCTTTTCTATTCTTTGCCTTTCTTTTCTTTTCCTGTCCTTCCCCCTTCCCTCCCTCTCTCCCTGCCTTCCTTTTTCTTCCTCCTCTTCCTCCTCCACCCCACCTTTCTCCCCCCTTTCTTCCTATGATCCTATGATCGGATTATTTCATTGGTATATAATTTGGTTCTGCTTATTTCCTTGCACATGGACCAGAGGATGATTTCCCTTGTTATATTTTTTGGTTTAGAAGCTAAGCTCACAGGCCTCAAGACCTAGAGCTAGTTTCTTTCCTTTGTAAAAACAGAACTTTAAAAACAAAACAAAACAAAACCCTTCTTTAGTAAGGTTTTACATTCTCAAGATCAGTTAAAAGCCTCACACATATTTAAGCAATCTTTATTCTACCACATCGGGACATTAGTGGCTGGGGATATAGCTCAGTGGCATAAGCACCTGCCCGGCAAACGCAAGGTCCTGAGTTCGATCCCTGATACCAAAAAAGAAAGAAAAAACAAAAACAAAAAAAAAAACAAAGAAAACCACAAGTACATGCAGATATAGGCACAGATATGCCAGGCACAAAGGCACTGTGAATATCACACACATCGGGACATTAATTTGAAAATAAATGCTGACCCAGCTTTATGAAGTTGAAGCATGACCTGAAGGTGATTTTAAACTTTTTAGGGCCTGCTTTAGTAGTTTGGTGAATAATATTTTTAGGTGTATAAAGCAAAATAACCATAGGATTACAAAAGAAATTGTATTGATATTTATCTATAAAAATATTTTTAAAATTGTGATATATTGTGACTTTTAATTAACATACTAAATAATGTCTTAAGAATTAAAAAAAATTCTGGAAAAAAACCAAAACAAACAAACAAACAAAAAAGGGGCTGGGGATTTAGCTCAGCGGCAAAGTGCCTGCCTGGCAAGCGCAAGGTCGTGAGTTCGGTTCCCGGTACCGGAGAAAAACCAAAAAAAAAAAAGAATTAAAAAAATTCTGAGACTGAGAATACACAATATTTTTAGATACCTGTAATAACTCTAATGTCATATAAAATGTCTGCTTTTTCACAGTTGCATAGTCACAGGGGCTACTAGTAGTGTTAAAGTTCGCTGCCTGTATTCAGAATTGAACAAATTCTAAATTTCAGTTAGAAATTCATGTAAATAGAGGTAACGTTCCCATTTAAATTCATGTAACCCACTGAGACCCGTACATAATCCACTGGTGCTGACCAAGGTAAGAACTATAGCTAAGATAAAACAATGAATTCTGCTCTGTGCAACCCTGGGGACTGACAGGATAGGACAATTTGCCGGTGGTTAAAGCTTTGGGTTTTCATAATTACTTCAGGGTTTTGTGCAGCATTCATTTGCAATCCATTCCTTTGTTTTATTAAGTTCCCAAAGTATAAGCTCCTCTTCGCAGAGCATTGTTCCCCAAGTACATTCTGAGATTGCATCAGGAAATCAACTTGAACACTTGATGGAGATGAAACAATTGCAAATAAATATTCTGTGACTTTAGAGGGTTTAGGAACCCAGGCTGAGGGATATCCGCCTCCTCTCCGCTCCCAGCTAACTTTGGTGGCAACAGGCCGGGAGAGATGACCTTCAGAGCTGTGGACAAGGACAACAGTCCTTGGGACAATGGTTCTGAAAGGTACAAGGAACTATTCTGCACCCCAGGGAGCAGAAACTGATGCACAGTGGGGGCGATGGGTCTTCTCCGGGCTGCTTAATGGAAGCATTTCCCCCAGGTCCTGATCTAAATATTGACTTTGCTGCCTACAATGTAGATGTTGTTCCTTTTTCTTTTTTCTTCCTTTTTTAAAAAATTAATTGAACCTGGTCTCAGTTACTGTCTTTATTGTCTGTTACACAGCTTTCTTGGCAATGGCTTTCTTCTTTGGGGATTATCAGTGCCAAGTTTTTGCCCACAGTAATCCCATGTCTATCCCACCCAACCCCCCTGTGTGGATCAAAAACATCAGTTTGAGGCAAGAAAGGATTTAATAGTTTACCACGGAAGCAAAATCAAGGAGAAGAAAACAAGCCAATAAATAATAAAAGACTTCTTTCAAAAATTACCAATAATCACCAGTGAAGTAGAGATTAAAATCCAGGTAATAAAAAGAGGAAAGTTTCATTCTGTACAAAACAGATACCATGTCATCCAGAAACAATACCACTGAAATTTGTTTTTACATGAAGCACATCTTATTCTTGTGTTTAGGAAAGTGAAATTAGGCAGAGCTGGCCATCCCGTTGTTGTTATTAATTTTAGTTGCTATTTATGAATGCATCTTATTTACGTGATCTGATTCTTGAACTCCTTTTTATGGAACAGCAGCCTGTGACTTCCTTACTCTTCAAATAAACAAAAAGCAAACCTGCAATCCTCCGCTGCTGATCTTTTTCTTTATGGCTTTCTTGCAGACTTCATGTATCTGTCTCCTTAACATTTGTTTGTTTTTAAATAAAATACATGAAAAGTGACTATAATCCCTTGCTTTTAGCACTCTTTTTTAGGATACAATATCCACAATCCCCAATTACTTTACCTTTGAAATAAAGATATCTTCCCTTCATTTTAGCTACTTCTTATCTCCTAAATCCTTTTTCCACTACTGTTGCTAAGGACCTCACAGTATTTGGACTTTTGATTGATCTTTTGTTTTTGGTAGTGCTTCCAGGACGGGAACTGACCTACTGGTGAGCCAGAAAAATCCCGTGCAGGCTGGACAGAGTGAGGAGCTGTCTTTCCTCCCGCAGGGCTCTGGATCCTTGACTCTAGACAGTATGGGAAAACACAAAGACCCTCCTCCCTGACTTCATTCACAGAGCCAAAAGTTGGCTGCAGACACGCTGCGTGTTTTTGTGTGTATTTCACACTCCACAGTGGCACTGCTGGTGTGTGCCTTAAGACTGCTTTCCAGCAGCCACCATCTGGATCCAAATGTGATACAATGTACACACTCAAACATTCTCCATGAATGAGAATGGAAGATAGCAACCGCTGCCATTTCTTAGAAAGGCCCCTGTTTCAAATAGAACCCAAGGAAAACCGCAGATTTTTGTACCACAGCCAAGGTCTAAACATGTGTGTTTTCTGAGCGTCTCAGATTTCTGAAGTTAAAGCCATTAGTACATAACCCTACCCCGCCCACCACGGGCACGCACTCCACGCGAGCTACTCACCGAACAGTCTGCCAGTGGGTCCCTCATGTCCAAGTGCTTTTCACTTTTGTCCTTTCACCTACCCTCCAGCGTTTGGACGTTGCAATCAGGGCTGGGTGTGTCCTGAACTTCCGGGATTCAAAGGCCCTAGGATACGTCAGTCCCTGTCAGACAGCAAGGAGGAAGTTTCAGCCCTGGACTTCCACCCAGTTTGTTTCCTGAAAAAGCAAAGAACAGCTTTGGGTCAAGACGGCCAGTGTGAGATGGTGAGAGGGACGTGAGCCAACACTCGGAGAGCAGGACACTGTGTCCCCGAGGGCGTAGTCTTGAGAGGAGGGCTGGCAGCTGTGGGACGTCCCCATAATCCAGGTGCCCAGGATCATATCGAGGGTCTCATATTCTCTCAGCTTGCTGTACCAGTCATGCTTTTTGTTTTCTGTATTTTGCGGTGCCTTTGAAATTGGTCTGTCTTGCTGGTTTCCATAAGAAATGCCATCTCGTCCCACTGTTCCATAAGGCATGCCTCTTACCACAAGCTTGACAGTCTGAGAACAGATGGATGGACACCTACACCCCACTCTCCCTGGCACTTCCCTAGAGTCTTCCTTTTACCCCCCTGAGCACTGGCTACATTAAAATACCTCCACTTTGCACCAGTGTCCCTCCTGCAGACTGTTTAAGGGCAGCAGAGTGTCCTAGCTGAATGCAGATTGACAATTAAAGTCTATTTATTCAGCTTCTCGAGGACAGAAAGGGTTGTTTTATTTATCTCTTATTGCAACAACACAGTGTAACAACAGAAAACCCAGTGGCTTCAAATGACATAGAATTTATTCACTGACCAATCTGTAGTTAGCTGGTGGCTTTTTAGCTGTTCACTGGACTTATTTCTGCAAAAGCAGGCCACCAGCTCAGCTCTTTGGGTGGGCGGGCAGCTTCTCTCAGCTGTGTTGGGCAGGTAGCTGGATGTGGGCCAGCTATGGGCTGACGCAACGTCATCAGCCAGTAGCCTAGCCCTGCCGTTCCCAAAGCTCATCGCAGGAGCCCAGAGAAAGTGGAAGAGCTTGGGGTTTCCTGAGTTGGAACTGACACACCACCCCGTTAGCCAGCATAGGCCAGACCAGACTCCAGAGGGTGGAGCTGAATGTCCCATTGCAAAGGCATCGGTACAGAGAGAGGGTGAGAATCGGAATTAGTTTCATTCAACCTACCATGGAGGCCAGTCAATATTTGCTCTTTAGGGACGAGAGATAAAGTAGAAAGACGCAGGAGGAGAGGCTGCTCTGTCTTCCTCGCCCCCTGCTCCACAGGCTTTGGGCTTCAGAAGAGATCCAGAGTAGTGTGAGACACAAGAGGAGCTAAATTCATGAGAGGATCTAGATGTAGATCTGGAAGCAGACCACCTGCCCTCTGACCTCACTCGCCACCTACGAAGCCCTGCCACAGAACTCAGTGGAGAACTCCCTTCCTGGGAGACAGAGCCCAGCGGTGCTGTCTAGGGCCTCCCTGGTGGCTGGCCCTGAGGCTGGTGAGTCACCTTGGCAAGGAGGCCAGTGCAGGTCAAAGTGAATGCGTGTGACCTGGGGCCTCCCCCAGTCCCAGCCCCCCAGGAATGACTTTGGGAGGTGGCCGAGCTGCTGTGTGAGTCAGAGGGGTAAAGAATCTTGTGACTTTGGAATCTGCACCGCCATTACCTCATTCTCACCACAGGTGGAGAACTAAATATACAGTGAAGCATCTCTTTAAGGAAGGTACACTATCTCTTTTTTCCTGAAAAATTTAGTGCCCAGCATAGTTTTGAGCTCTCTGCCCACAAATGTGTCTCTATCCGTAGGAGTCTGGCCAACACTTATTCTCTGGTTTCTTTCTAGCCTGGCCTCCAGTGTGACTTCCTGTTGGACTTCTCAGATCCAGCTTCCCGACCTTCCTCTAGTCTTTGCTCCCACTGACCTTCTTGGCAGGGTCCCTCTGCAGACAGAAAACCTGCAGTGGATTCTCTTTGCTTCGGGCCTGGAAGCTGCTCCTCTGAACTCCACTGGCCGTGTCCCGTGCTGCCTCCAGGGGGAGCTGACAACAGTAGTCTATCACTACTAATTCCTCATAAAGCAAATGGGTGCTGGTCAGTTAGAAACAGGAGCCCCAGTGTGATAGAAGCTAAGAACAATTTAAAATTTACCTTATGCGTAGTCAGCTTCCTGTCCATGTGACAAAATACCTGAGAAGAATACTTTAAAGGAGGAATCTTTGTTTGGTTCATGGTTTTAGAACTTCAGTCCATGTTTGGCTGTTTTATTGCTCTAGTTTTGCAACAAGACAGAAGACCATGGTGGAAGAACACTGTTTCACTTCATGGTAGGTGAGGCAGGGTGGGGAGAGGCACAAGATACAATCCCCAGGGTCACACCCCGTGGCCTGCTCTTTCCAGCTAGGTCCCACCCCCTGAGTTTCTGTCACCTCCCAAGAATGCCTGCAGATTACAAACCCATCAGCGGATGAACCCCTGGAAGTCAGATCCCTCAGGATCCAGTTGCCTTCCTAAAGTTCCACTGCTGCCCTGGGGACCTGTAACACCCAGGCCTTTGGGGAACACTTTTATGTTCAAATCGTTAGACGAGGGATGTTTCTACAGTTGCCAAAACATGCAAAAAAAAAAAAAAGAAAAGAAAAAAAAAAAAGGAAGCAGCATAAACATCTTCAGTAGGATAGGAACCTGGTTAAATATCTTATGGTAATATGAGCTCTTATTTAGAGCATTTGCCATGTGTCAGGTACTGTTAAGTGCTTCACAAATAGGAACATGTTAAATAATCAAAGAAATCATTTGAAGCAGATACTGTACATGTTATCTGATCCTTATCGCACATGTGGGAAAACCAAGGTACAGGACTGTTGAGTGATTTACCCCAGGTCACACAGTTAGTATGATCATAGGATTCATCTGACTTCAGTGTTTCTGAGCTGTAGTGTCACTCAATCTAGACAGGATACGGAATAGCCAAAAGATGAGGCTCTAGTATAATGCATTTCATTATATGTACTGATTTAGAAACAGGTTGTAAAAGAATGAACACATTCACAACAAACAGGTTGTAAAAGAATGAGGATGACTCTAGTTTGTACCTAGAGAAACAAAAAAAGGAGCTGCATGTGGTGGCAGAGGCCTGTAATCCCAGCACTCTTGGAGGCTGAAGCAGGGGGATATCAAGTTTGAGCCCAGCCTGGACAATTTAGGAAGACCTAAATTAAAAACTGAATCAATAAAATAAAAATTTAGGAAGACATTCAAAATAAAAAAAATTAAAAAATAACTGGGGGTATAGTTCTTTGCAAAGGCCCTGGGTTTAACCTCAACACAAAGAAATAAAATCTAAACACAGACACATTTGTTGCTCTACAGTATATCTCTGAAAGTTGAGATTACAGATGACTTTCTAGCTCATACTCGTCTGTATGCTTGTAACATTTGAAACTGCTAGGTACTGTTCTAGAAATAAAAAAGGTGAAAAATGTTAAAGGAGGACAATGATGTTTACTTTACCTTTGTTTTCAAATGAGGTCTTGCTATGTTGCCCTAACTTGCCCTTAACTGGTGATCTCCCCCAAGCCCTCTGAGTAGCTGGGATTACAGGCGTGCTCCCCTACTCACTTGTTAGCGAGATGGAGGAATGGTAGCCTCATTATTTCATGACTCTAGGATTTTGCAGATACTATTCTTTCAGAAGCTCTTCTGCCTTTCTGTTGGCCTAGTGTACTGTCATCCATCTCTTGGGTCCGGGGTGTGTCATTTTCCCCAGACAGAGTACCCTCTCCTCTTTGTACCACTTCTGTCCATTATACACTCCTCTTTTGATTTCCTCCCCATTGTGTTGAAATTATTAGTTTATCGTTCTGCCTCCCACACTAGTAAATGAGATCCTGATAGCCAACTACGGGACCAAAGTCCTTGATCAGTAAATAACTGCTTGTATTGCATTGATTTAAATGCCGAGGAAAGTGACCCCCCTTAGCTCGTTGCTCTTCCTTGATGAGTTAGGGGTGTTGCTTAGGGGAGTTCTGTATCCTCAGCTATCCGGAAGCAGAGTTCAAAACCCCAAGAGAGAAGATAAGTGCGACCTTCTGGGCAGGAACTCTAAAATGGGAAATGGCTCAATGCACCTGGGAGGCTGTGACACTGATTTAAAATGCCCTCGACAAGCAGGAAACTGAGAAAGACTCAGCCAGAATCCCAAGGGGCCACTTAGAGAACTTTCTTGGAGATTTGTTGGCTTAAAAGTTATAAACAGATGAGGGAAAGAGAGTCTTGGGACCTAGAATACAATCAAAGAATGCCCTCATGTTAAGAATAGGTTTGGGAAAGCTGCAGTCACAAATGAGCTGAGTTCTGAAAAGTTTGCTAAGAGGATGCTGGCCTGTTCACCACAGCGAGATGCACACATAGGGACAGGATGCACACACAGGACGGGACAGCTTTGTGTGGGCAGCTGGCCGGCTCTTGGTGCTGGCAGCTCAGCAGCTGCTAGGGCCCTGGTGGGGTGGCTGACCGTGGTGGACCACATATCCCAAAGAAGCTTCCTCCCTTGCAACCAGCCGAACCGTGGGTGCTGAGTCTTGCTACATCTTGACACGACACACATTGCCCAGGCAAGTTGCCTCTTCTGAGTCCTGCATGAGACCTAGTCCTTGGCCTGCTGGGGCTGACACAGGGTCAGGACCCTTCTCTGCAGCTGTTTCGGACCCATGAGAGCCCGGACAGTGAGTGCCATCCGTGTCATCGTTTCCACCAGTCACGTTTCTCTGAGTGAAGTGCAGACGCAATCTCATTCTGATTCAGCTGCTTTTTATTTTTAGTATCTGCTTGCTGCAGTGACTAGCTTCCTTAATTTCCGTATCTCTCCAAAGCCGGAAGATGCATCTCGGACTCCTTGCCTGGATGCGTGTATGTTTTTAAAAATAAACAAAAATAAAAAACCTTTACCCAGAGCCTCCGGACAGAAAAATAAAATCTACCCAAAGTGGAAGCACAAAGGAGCATTTTAAATTGCAGTGGAAGCCTGGGCTACAAAGTGAGCTCAAGGCCAGCCTGAACTGCATAGCGAGACCCTGTCTCAAAAACACAAAAAATAAAACATAAAAAAATAAATTGCAGTGGAAGCAGTGTGGGCACGCAGTGATGTTGTCATTCTGAGTAGCCAGCCTC